GACGTCTATAACAAGCAAAGGACAATACCAAAACTCACAGCTAGTTGGCGTATGTAACCAGCGTGTTTGACTGATTCACAGCAGGAAAATATTGGCCGCCCCGGGTAATTCCGCGCCGGGTCGCTCGCCCAACTCCCAGCTGTCTTTGTTGTCCGCCCTACTGACGGGCTTTGAGGCCAGGTTTCCGGCTGAGGGCGGTGTTCTCACCGTGTTTGTGTCGCCTCGGTACCCGTGAGCTCACCACTCTACGACCGGCCTCCCCTGTTGTTCTCGCGGCGTACGGCCACAGTCATTAGACGGACTGCCCCAGGCGTCAGCAGTTGTCATGGTAACGGCGCCGCCACCGGTTACGGCCCGTGGTTGCGATGGTACGCTGCGGATGCACGTCCCTTGGACGAGTCTTTATAAGTTTGGGTCGCGCTTGGACATAATGGCTTGAGAGCATCATTATGCTTCATCGGTATCGACCAGGCTTATTCAAATTGTGTTTACGATAACATGCAGCAAAGTTAAGCTTCCATTTTGATAGTGCTGTGAATAGCTCAGTAGGGCATTAGGTAACCTCTCTGGCTTATTTTCCAAAGGGCACTTAATTGAAGCGTCAGTGGAACTTCAATGCATCAAGGGTCTTCAAAACAACGGGTGACCACTTAGGTGAATTTATTGAAGGAGCTATGCTGTAAGTGACTTTAATGTACACGTATAGGTGCAATAGAAGCTGTTGTAATCAACTTCAGCATCCAACATAAATTTTCACCGGGTTATGGAGTTGTTCCCGACCGTGAAACAAACATTCCTGCATATTCCGTACATCCCTGAGACAGCGCGCCTTTGGGGTGAGAGTGGTATTACCCAGCTCGCAGGGTGGCATACGGTCGTATACCGAGCCACTTTCTCCCATCTGTTAGACAGCTGTTCGGCGCAGAATGGCCCGGTGGTCCTGCTCGCCTCACCTGTTCCCGGGCAGATCGTGCATGTGTTGTCTTTTCACGGTGTACCGATCCCTGTTATTTCGTGATGGCCTGTTGGAAGTCGTGCGTGACTGAGCGCCTCGTCACGACTCTGTTGTCCCTCCTGCAGCTCGCCCTGTCCTGTGCCTCACGACTACATCTCCGTCCCGTCAAATATCTTGTCCCATCTCACTACCGACCTCTTTTCTCGTTCCAATTATGTGTTCACGCCTGTATGTGTTTCAGCACGTGTCGATGTCCGTTTATCGAAAGTATCTGTACGCGTGAGTATATCTGTTCGTGTAGGTATACGTGCGTGCGTGCGTGTGTGCGTGCATGCGTAGCTGACGCCGTGAGGAGAGCAAACGGTGGCCGTCTCAGGCCACTTGAGGGCGATGCACCCAAGTGACACGAGTGTGATCCGTGTTTGCCCTGCTGTGGTTTATTAGCAAAGCGATAACGAAACAGCTTGAACACACTCGTGAAATGCTCTTATCATCTAAAATCGGTGTTCTAAATCAACATAGCCTGATTTATGTAAATGGTAAACACAACACATTGTTCACAAAACCTCATATATATGCCAGTGGTTTTCTTGAAACTCTGAATGGCTCTTGTTGAGAAGACGTTGGCGTTCTTCACTGATCGTGAAGTACGTTTAATGTTACATTCGCTTTGTCCGCCAAAAAAAAAAAAAATCACTTGATTATGCATATTACTCATGCTTTTACATCCGCTAAGTTTTGCAAATTGTGAAGACATGACCTAAATTTCCCCTCAGAAAAGGCGTTGTGCAATTATTTCGGTGAAATTTGAACTATTGAGTTAGACCCTATTGCTCATTGCAGTAGCGGCTATACCTACCACACGGTCCCTGCTGTGGTTTTCCATTGTGACACGGCAACTTAGAATGCGCAGGGTGCTTGGGATATCCTACGGACTACACTATAAATGAAGTTTATTTGTTTTCTGTGCTGAGTGATATCAATCCATAATTTCTCAAAAATCAATTTCCATCATTTTTGACACACGTTCCGTTTCAAGTCAGTGAGGGGTTCTCTGGAAAATGGCTTATTCTCGCCAATGCCATTACGAACTTCTTGGCAAGGTTTTTGGTCAGGAACTAATCCCTTTCAATTTAATCTGGGCGAGTTTTCTATTAATCCGAAGTGCTTGAATAGAACTCGTCAATGTAGGCACAGGCACCTACATACTATTCCAAAGTATCTGCTAAGACTGGCGTGGGTCTATTTATCGCCCACTCGACCATACTCTTGAGGAACTCTCAGCAGCCTCCACCTTCAAACACACACACCCAATTGAATCAGCTATGCAATTGAGAATTCGAGACATACCCGCCCACTCGGAAACAGCGCAACGACTCGCTCGAACGACGGACGTTGCTACCGCAGAGAAGTCGCCGGCTGTCGGCTGTCGGACATCGGCTGTCCTGTCTGACTTCACTGCATCGCTCAGCGGACGGCAGTCGTTTCCGTGCCACCAGGCAGGGTGTCTCGTGGCTCGGTATCGCTCGGTCTGCCGTCGCCTCGGCCCTGGTGCCGTATTACCCGAGTCAAGGGCTTCCGGCTTAGCTGCTGGTGTCATTTTTAGAGGTGCTGAGTGGCTTATGGGGTCTCAGCGGAAGGGCAGGAGAGTAAGACAAATGTCTGAGTGTGTCGGCGTATAAAGTCAATCCTGTAAGGCGCGAAATCGGTTTGTCGCATGTGACGTGAATAAATTGAAAAGAATGGCTGGGAGCGTAGCGTATTATTTTGGAGGTTGATGAGCTGCTAGGGAATTGTTGAACAGCGTTGTTGGCGTTATTTGGCGTTGTTGGCGTTGGACAGTTATCGATGGTTCGTGCCGGTTGTTGTGGGCTGTGGCATGAGGCATGAGGCAGTGCGGTTAGCGGATGACGTGTGCCAATGAGTATACGCTGGGTGGATGACGAATTGATGGTGGGCACTGGGCAATAAATAGACGGTGGATGTGGGAAGGGGTAGGCGGTAGACTGCAGACGGTGGGGTCAGGCATTAGGCGGCGGGTGACTGACGTTGAACGGTAGACTGTGGCCGATAGCTCTCTCGGATCGGCCCGTGTCCGGTCGGGCGGAGTCGGGTTGGCGGATTGGGCGGTATAGATGCAGTGCCGTTATACACGTAAATACAGAGTTCTGAATTCAGTGTGACGATCGGTCGGGTAGACGTTGGGTGGCACCACGCGTTAGGCGATAAGTCCCCCGGGTCGGCCTCAGTGTCCGGTCGTAGTGGTGTCGGTATCGGCACCGTGACCCGGTGTGGAGCCGGGTCACCCGGTGGTGCTGATTATCACCGGTCGGGCGGGTCGGAGGCCAATGAACCGGAACCGCCCCGCCGCGCGGCTCCCGGTCACAGCGGCTTATATGACACGACAGGCTCGGTTGGTCAGGGAACAAGTATGGTGGTGGTTACTGGTTTGACTGTTTATCGCCAGGATTAGAAAGTTTTCAGCTAATTAAACAAACAATTGAACGAGTATCAAACTGCTGTGATTAAAAAAAGGAAAAAATGGGCGAAAGCAAAGTAAGTTGGGACCGCACATCTCTACACCTAGCCACACATTCAACCGCACTTAAAACTAGCCGTGTAAATTAATTTGGTAGGGTTGTGCAATGCGTCGGGCCTGCCTTCGCTTTGAATGTTGGTACGAGATTCGATTGTGTCCATCGTCTGTGATTTCGGTGTTATTGGGGTGTCGTGCGTTCGCTTGCATCATTTTGTGTAATTGTCTGGTCTCCACGCCTTCCCTAATTTAATCGTCTAGATATTGACCATACTTATTGCTCGTTTTAACAACCGATATTTCATTTCTAACATTGAAACAATGACGGCGGAAAATTCGAGCACATCTCTGAACATCGTCAGATACTCTCTAGGCTGTCACAGCTCATGGTGTGCATGAATCATGCCAATCACTCTGATGGGCAGCTTTATCTTTTCATCGACATCACACCACGGTCGGTTTGGGTTCTCTGAACTCGGCCACACTCGAGGCGTGACCACGTGTAGTGCTCGTGGTGAGGTCGTGATGGGGCCTGTCGAACTCACGCTGACTGGCACAGTGCCCCCGTGGACACCAGAGGAACAGTCAGCTTCAAATTATATTGGCAAAAATAGAGACGAAGTGGAACTTAGTAATTGCTTTTTGGTAAAACCTCCTGCACCGATTAAGTGTAAAATCGTATCATTATAGACTAATGGGAGCATTTATGATTGTAAAGCGAAGTGACTTATTGCAGTAATCTTGTGAAGATTGCTGCAATGCACCATCATGCCGTTTTGATTGCTTTCATTAGTCTATATGCTGAGGCGGCATGTGGCATGTTGGTCGCCAAAAACGAGTTGCACAGTGCGCAATACAGAATTCAGTAGGCCTCTGTGGGCTCCCTAATTTAATTCACGGGATGGCGAGGGCCGGATGGACCGAAAGGTCGGCAGACAGTGCGAAATGGGTTCGGCTGCAAGTGCACCATTGACCGGCAGCACGTGCAGCACGTGCGGCGCCGCGTGTATCACGTGCGACGAAAATTGGGCACGTGCGAGAGTGCTGACTGCCTGTCTTTGAGCGTCAGCCTGGTAGCATAACTAGGTTAGCCTCGGGAGAAGCATGGTAAGTGGTAGACGTAGACGCTGTGAAGTGGAACTGAAATCGAGCTCGTTTATGCTGAGAGGAGGATGCCAGGAGAACCAGAAACCGGAACTCCTTGCCGTACAGTTCAACTATCAATGCTGAGATTTGCAAAATATTTGGTTAGATCAATACCTCCTATTCATTGATGAATTACCTACGTAAACTTTTGATCATATTGACACAGCAAATATCGTTGATTGACAACGATGACCGACCATGTGTCGAAATGATGTGCCAGCTCTCCGCATCGTTATCGGCTTCTTAGACCGACATGGGGGCTTCTCATCAGTTTATCCATCTCTACCATCCTGCACCGTGAAACCTCGCTAATCGGGCCACACTCTTGGCGTTATTAACTGACCCTGCCCTCTTCTCCGGTAGGCGCCGGCAGCGTGGATAAGCCGCTGGCCACGCTCTGGAGAAACTACTGCCAGTCGACCAAACCGGACATCGAGATGCGCGTGACGGTGGCCGTCTCTGGCCTCAAGGCCACCACTCGGGAGCACGGCCTCACCGAGTACTGGAGCCACCGCATCACCTACGCGTTCGCACATCCCAGCTACCCGAAGGTGAGAGGAGAGATTATAGAGCTTTGTAAGAGATGCTGGTTTGAAGAATGACTGGTAGATTTTTGCTAGGAAGTGGACCTGGTCAGTAAAATGTCAGGCGTCTCGTCCTTTATGTAATATGACCTGCGTAAACTTTCGGCCTATTAAGCACAGCTGCCAACATCGACGTTTCCGTTTCTACTCCAGATGTCTCTGGCAAAGTTTAAGGGTTGCCCGACTCTGTCCCGCGTCCGCCGCCGCCATCAGTGGCTTTGCCCTTCTGCCGGGCCTATCGTCTCGGTCTCTATCTGGTTTGCCCGTCTGTCCTCTCTCTCGGGCACCTCGATGGGTTTGTCCATGTTCCGGTTCCGTGGCAGCGCCAACAGAGCGCCGTATATCCGGGAAGCGGCTGCACTGATAGCTGACTCCGAACCCACCGCCCTCTATACGGCGGAAACCACAACGTCACTGCGTATGGATGTGCAGCTAGCTGGAACCGACTGATATTGATGATACATCCGTAATATGCACCACTTTCCTCAACTGTGTCAGGACATGCGGTTGTCGCCGAATCTGCTACGTAGATGTTTATTTATTGAGACAATATTACCGCATATATTACGGCGATTACTTCCGTCGAGCGTGAGTTTCGAGATAAGATCCGCCCCGCCTGCGAACCGCCCTGATGACAATGGTGGGGACGGGCGATACAGGAAGTGATTTGGTGCGAGGACAGTACGGTGGTACCCGTAACCCGACTACCTGTGACGGCCGGTCGACCGCAGAGGATATGGTCGGTGGCTGGTGTAATCAGGCGCTATTTACCCAGGCACCGTCTGCGTCTGGTGAGGCATGAGTCATTCTTATCGACAGGTCTCTCCGCAGTTCTGCCTGAGTGGTCTGTGAAATAGATATTGACGGCCGCATGATGTAAGGCTTCAGCGGCGTCCTGAGCGTTAGCTCGCCTCTGAAAAATATAGAGACGGGAAGGATTATCGAAAAAGATTACCGAAAAAAGATAATCGGTATAGGATGATTTTTCAACAAAAATATATATGTTTAGCCATTTAGCGTATATGTATACGCTTTTAATATAACTATAACAGCAAGTATGTCAAAAGGAGACACAAAACATTGTCGCCCTCATTCAGGAGCCACATCTCCCGTTCCGTCATTCCACGCAGGCAGTAAGCGGTGGTCAGCTGTTCCAACTCTGTCTCACAGAACTCAGCCAACTCCGTGGGAAACTCAGACAAATCCGTGAGAAACTCAGTGAAACTCTGGGAATGTCCCCGCTACGCTCACAGGCAGCCGCAGTGACTGGTCGACGCGGGCGCAGATCGTTGTTTACAAATAACGTTTACATGTTATAAACGCGGAAACCCAGTGTCTGTCTGGCCCTATTTCCCGTCTCCAGTTGAAAAGCTGGACGAGTTATTGAGAGCTATTAGGTTATTGATAGCACAGCCACAGTGTATGTATTTACGTAAGATACGTGTTGCAACTGTACCTACTTGAAACGTGGATAGTGGTTCACGTGGCAAAGACACGGCGTTAATTGACGCATCGGTATTATCAACTTCTCGTTGGTGTTTTTCGGTGCCTTCTTCGAGTTCAAGCGGGTGTCATCAGGCTTTCCCTTTAGTGGATACCTATGATAGCGTACGGATGCTTTAGCCTTCAACTCATCGAAATTGTTCACGTCTTTTACGGTTATTCTTTGTTGTGCTTCCCTGGGAATCATGAAGGTTATTGTCTTGTACTCTTGCGGCACGAACCACGTCTTCCTTACTACATAGCCGGGCCCACGCGATATCACCGTTTGAACCGTGCTCACCAGCACTCTGTCATGACTTGCAGTTCACTGCCGTTGGTGCAGCTGCCTGAAGCCCATCGGGGCCGGTCCAGGACCACGCCCTTCGGCTGGGCCGTGCAGGGACGGCGGGCCGCGGGGAAGCACGGGGGCGGCCACCGGGCGGACGGGGTCGCTCGTGACAACTTCTGTGACCCGTTCGTGTATGAACTCGCTGCGATTATCGCGCTATGATCGCAGGTCAGGCCAGTGCCAACGGCCTATAGCCCCGCCCCGTCTCGACCCGCCCAGGCACGACCTGTTCAGGAGCTGGTTTTCAGCGGCGGGGGGGGGGGGGTCGGACGGAGAGGGTCAGGAGTGGGGCCTCAAGCGGTGGACCATGGACAGCCGATGCTTCGAAACAGCGGCGTAAGCTGCTGAATAGGCACAGTCTCACCTATCGCGAGTTTTGACTGCCGACTCGGTGACTTCCTACTCTGAGACTGATGGGCGCGGACCCGCTTATATCTCTGTTTTGACTGGACTTGCCGGCTCCGAGCTGCTGCTGATTTAGCTACTTCCGCCACTGTTCGCTCCAGCGTTATACCACATACACTCAGTGCTCAGTATGATCACCTGCTGTTCCTATCGCCGGCAACTACGCAGCAGCAGCGGCGGTCCGGGCCGGAGCCGCGGCCGCTGCGGTCACCTGACGGCCCGTCAGGCTGGCTAGTGGCTCCTGTCGATCCTTATATGTCGGCGCCGAGACGCCTACGGGCGGAGACTGTCGGCAGAGCGGCTCGGACCGCCTGCGGTCTCCTCTCAGGCAGAGGTGCGGTCATGTGCGGGAGCTGTGAAGGTCATCATCTGCCACCTCCGGCTGGGGAGGCGGTGTGGGTGTCACCGCGAGTGCATAACTTCCTGATTGAAATGAGCCGTGGAGATGTTAGGATGGTTAATTTGAGAAAAGTGTGTTGAAGAATGGCTCGCAGCTGTGAGAAGAATGATGTTAGAATGTGTTGTTCTCACCGGCTGTGACAGTTCCGTGAGAAGAATAGCACCTGTGACACCTATTCACACACAAAGGATACATCTCTGTAGGTCATCTCGGGGTCCGTGACTTTTTTGTGGTACGGTATTATTGTGGTCTGTGCGTGTGATGCGACATACCGTGACCTTGTGACGTGCTGCGGCAACTCCCTATCACTACGCAAGACGTAACTTGGTCTCCGAGTGTCCGGATCGTCAATCCCATCAGTCGTTCTTCAGTAGATTCAGTGAGGTGCTTTCTGTGTTTCTTATGACGTCATAAGGTGACAGCCGTACGATCTTTTTTACGACCTGAGCAGCCTGTTTCGCTCGCACATGAATAGTTCACTGACCGAGGACAGGGGTGGCCGGCGAAAGCTAAGAACGACGTCTCGCACTTGCCATGCACACTGCACACGTCCTCTGCATTCTGCAATCTGCCATCAAACTTGGTGCATCCATTACGCCATAGCGTGTGGCCACGCTCCAGCATATGGTTCGCTCCCAGTGAGAGCACCGGCCGGTCGGTGGACTGTCCGTGTTTGTATGCCCGTGTGTGCGGTTTCTCGCCCCGGGGCACCTGATCGCTGTAAAAACACGCGCCGGTGGGTCGGCCGCTCGCCCGTCCACTCCCAATTAGCTGGGGCGGGGAGGAGGGCGCCGGGGAGTCGGCGGGGAGGAGGGCGCCGGGGAGTCGGCGGCGAGCTGAGAGCGAGCCCCGCCGCAGCGCTGCGGCCGAGGCGGCGCCCGCGCCCAAGGTCAGAGCGGCGAGCAGGTCCGCTCGACTCCACGCCACGGGCGATGGAGAGGCGAAAAGCTCGTCCAGGGTCTGCCCACAGAGAGAAAACAACACGGCGCAGATTTCACTTTGGGTGGGACGAATGGATTCTGATGGAGTTTGAAAGGGAATGACAGAAGGTTCTATGCTGCTGGAAATTCATTACCGCGACGATTCCGTACAATAAAAGCGACATTAAACTCCAGGAATGTCATTAGCGCTGCGATTACCGACTCGTTTGCGTCAGCCGTGTGAGTTCCGTCAGCTGGGGCTCGGTGAACATGAGGCAATTAGTCTCATCGGCCGCTCACTCGCGCAGTCCGTATCGATATGACTGTGGACCAGTCACGTGAATGATGCAAACAGCCCATGACGTGCAGCTTTACCTGTCCAAAAACCTACCCTTCACCCAGATCGTGTACTGAGGGGGAGCGATCGGTGCTGATGGATAAACTACCATGAACTGAGCAGATGCGTGACTGCTTAGTTCGTTACAAATGCTCAGATGTTGTGCTAAAACAATGGTTATGGTCGAACACACGACAATAAATGTCACTCATTTGGAAGTTTTATATTAGCTGCCTATACTGTTTACAATTAGTGTTTTCAAGGAACCAGTCCTGGTCATGTGCTATGTTTTCACCCCTCCCCGTCCCTAATCGCCCTATGGCAGCTCAAGTTGTGTGACCGCTCTCTAAAGTCGTGTCCTCCCTATGCCCCCCTTCTATCGCAGGTTGTGTGACCGCTCACTGACGCCCTGTGCCCTCTGTGTTCCCAGGTATTCTGCTGGGTGTACCGTCACGAGGGGCGCAAGATGAAGCCGGAGCTGCGCTGTCACGCGGTGCTCTGCTCCTCCGAGACCAAGGCGCGCCTGATGCAGCGTCTGCTGACCGAGCGGCTGCACCAGGCGCTGGTCGAGTTCAGGAAGGAGAAGCAGCTGCGACAGAACGCGCGGCTCTCCGTGGTCAGCGTGCTGTACCCGGCCGCCCCGCGGCGAAAGGTGGTGCTCACCAACGGTGGCGCCAACTACCGGCCGCCGCTCGAGCGCAGCAAGAGCGCGCCCAAGCTGGGAAGTATCGAGGAGGACCGGCTGGGCGAGGAGGCGGCGGACGCGGCGGCGGCGCGCGAGGCGGCCGCCCGCCGACCGCCGCCGGTCCCCTCCCTCGCCGAGATCGCCGAGGAGGAGGAGGAGGAGAGGACACCCACAGCTCCCCGCTCCCCCAGACCCCGCGCCTTCAGCGAGCCGGTCGAGCCGCCGCCGGCCGTGTGCCGCCACCCGGCCGACCCGACCGCCACCCACGACCCGGCCGACGACTCGGACGCCGCCAGCGAGCACAGTGCCGCCAGTGTGCCCAGCGACCCGACCGGCGACAGCGACTGCGAGACCCTGGTGCTGGCCACCACGCCCGAGCAGTGCCGCGTGTACAGGATCGCCGGCTCCGGCCGCTCGCCGCCGGACGCGGAGGACGCCTGTCACCGGCTGCAGGGCGTCGTCGACTTCGGCGCCCACTGGAACTCGACCGGCTGGGTGCGTGTGCCCGACGAGGACACTGCCAGTGATGAGAGCGGCTACTCAGAGGAGCCGCTCAAGGCCGAGTGACCGCGCACCGCGAGGCAGAGGACAGATCTAGTCAGGGCGCGCGGCGCAGAGTCGGCGGCGGGTCGCAGGCTCTCTGTGTAATGTGCTCACTGGCTGGAGGGTTCCACCGCTGCGGGACGCCGCGGCAGGTCGCCCGGTGCGCCCGGCCGTCTCTGATATACTCACTGACATGTGTTGCATATTTATTGTTGGTGTTTGGCTGCGCGCGTGTCGCTGTTTGCCCCTCGTGTCTATGTGCCAAACGGCGAGCGGGGTCGGCTCGATCCTCCCGGTCGGCGGGGCGCCGGCCGCTGCCCAGCGGGCCCCCTCCGGGCGCTGTGTGCCGCTCCACTGCGGTGTCTCTGTTCTGTTTGTCGTTGTTACGGCTGGCCTGGCCTGGTGGGGACCCAATCTGTTCCGCCCCGGCCGGCGAGCGGTCGAGACACAACCCCGCCCCGAGACCGGGCGATATATCCTGTCTGTGCTACTGTCTACTGATGGAATGTGATACGTGATCGCGTATGGTGTAGTACAAGTCCGTAACACATGTATTAAATATCATTAATAGTGAATAAATTGTATCAAAGCTGCTGAGATTGTCGCTGACCAACCGACAGATAAGACAAATGCTTGGGTATCTAGCTTCAATGTACACCGAAAGTCCGCGTAGAGTTTAGCTTCGAACGTTAACACGCGCACTGCAGCGGGTCTGAGCCGAACACGAACTGCAGGGGGGGGGGTTGAAAACAAACCCCCCTGAGATCTCGAAAACGGCGCAACGTAGCGACAAGCGGTAAACGGCGTTGGATAGGTTAAGATGAGATCGACAAGAAATACTAAGATAATTTTTGGGTCAGGTCAAAAACGAGGTCACCAGAGGTCACCGAAGACAAAATGTTACGATTTTCACAACAGGAATTTCGCGGTAGTTTTTCTTGAATAACTTGTCTTGCACACAAGACAGAGGATCGATTCGAACGCCATCGTTCTTAGCTCGTCAAGGCGCATCGAATGATATATAATATGACCTCGAAAGGTCAAGTTGAAAATTTGACCTCAGGTCAAGGTCATGACCTGACCGAAATAGATCATGTTGCATATCATTCGATCCGCATTGACGAGAAAAACACGATAAACGTCGAACGGAGTCTCTATCTCTACTCAATCTCAAGTTATTTAAGAAAAACCGCTGGTGACCTCAGGTGACCTAAGATGACCTGGAGATCACCTTCCAAAGGTCATAAGTGATATGTTTCGGTGAAATCACCAACAGGGACCTGTAATACTATGATCCTGAGCGTATTGAAGTCATAGGATGGCATTCAGAGTAAGTTGAAATTTCTCCCCTTGACTTATAATGGGCCGGTCGCAAAAATGACCTGACCTTAGGTCATCGATATAAAAATTCCGAGATATACAAGTTGTAGCTCGTGATGACTTTACTATTTCCTGTGGGTTTCAAGATCATATCTCAACAACTGTGGGCTTGGTGGGATTGCAAACTTCGAAATTTACGTTTCGAGGTAGGGTCACTTGACCTGACCTGGTGACCTGACCATAGGTCACCTGGGGTCAAAATTTTTACTCAAGGTGTGCAAAAGTTGTGAGAACAGGTATGCAAAATTTGGCGGCGCTACGCGCCGCCGTTTTCTCGCAATTTGCGAAAAACCACAGGGGGGGGGGTTGAAAACAACCCCCCCTGCAGTGCGCGTGTTAAACGTATCCATACGGCGCAACTGGCTCACCGGCATTATTTGGTCTGGAACACGATTTCTGCCAACGTATCACTAACCGAAGGTTCGTCAGGATCATATTGCAAAAGCTGGAGCCGCGCCAACCAAGCTCTAACCACCGTGTCGTACCGGTTAGCTTCGGAGACGGTCGCACAATTCAGCTACGATTTACACACAGATACACCAATAATAACAACCTGCACATATCGCCATTTCCGAGAACCTGAGATGGTAGCCTGACCCGCAATGCACGAAGCGACTGTCAGCTGGGGAGAATCTGAGAATCTGAAATGGTAGACTCACCCGCAATGCACGAAGTGACCGCGCTCGGGTTGCGCAACGATTCGGAAACGGGAGGGAAGTTTTACACTACAAAGCGAGCATCGGTGATTTCGGATCAGTCAGGGTATCGATACCGCTATAAGAGCGTGCAACCAGCAAATGGATAAAGCTCATCAGATATCAGTATCTACTCATCAGTCGGACAAAAGAACCCGCTAATATCTCAGCTTCCTCGGTGGCCGTCGTGGGTCAGTTGGGTACCAAACGGATGCATGTTGGTACTGGGAAAAATACCCCAGTGCGAACTATTAGATCTATTACGGCCGCACGGTCGCTATGGTTCTTTATGGTAACACTATTCGTTCGTATTATCTCCTGGTAGCAGTTTCTGATTCGTTATCACAGCTCTGTGAGGCCGGGTGAGCTCATTTCCGTTCCAACTCGGTCACAGTTGAGACACGACACGACCTCGACGAATGCCGGAACGGTCTCCAGCCGTGACCGATCGCAGGGTACGCGGTAGATAGAGGTGCAAACTGCAAAGTTCCTAGAAGTTCAACTTGACAAATCCGTTTGCTTTGCCCTTTCATGCGCGCGGCACATATTTTACCTGGCGGATCTGCGCAGGTCATTTGGGTCAGAGAACACGATAGTAATTAACGTTTGCAAGCACCCATTGTATCCATAAATAGAATCCTGCGCCCGCGGCAGCGTTTCAGAGGCTGAATTGGCTAGCAGCTTCAGACGGACCTCAGTCATGCTTGGCTCGGGGTTATCGGTCATCTGGTGTATTCACGTGCACTAAATTTAGATACATCTTCAGGTAACTTCGGTCATACAACGGTGGTGTTAACACTGATTGCTGAGCGAAAATATCTTGGAATGAATTGAAGATCTTGGTGTCTATTGCCTAAACGAAATGATCATTAATAAGCAGTTAATTTATTGAATGAAGAAGACTAAAAGGTTAAACAGATGTCTGCTTACGCTGCATCGTGATAGAAGAGATAATTATGCTATTGACATCCGTACACCTTGACCTGGCATCACTATAAGCTGATGGAAACTATTATCCTGTCATAAATTGCATATATTGAACAATGCAAAAACACGTATAACATGCATTGTGTCTGGTGATGTGCTCGTATGCACGAAGTATTGTGCAAGTCATATATTAACCGGTATATCAGTGTGTTATTGCACATCGTCATGGTTTATGAATCATTACCGTGTCGGTAATCAATCACCATGGTGCAATAAGAAAAAAACGGTTACAATTACAGGCATCGACAGTCACAAATGATAAGAGTATAGCGATATAACTAGGTACAACAATGACAAAGAGACAGTTTTGATTAAAATTATGCAAGTGGCTCATGAACTCATGATACAACACAGGATGATTGCATCAATTACGAAGCAATGTCGGCATATTTAACGACATATCATCAGATAAAACGATACACTAATGTCGACATCACATGATAGCCCATTGCCAATTGTACATAATCATCGACTCGCAAATAGTTCGATGGATTACTCATGATTCATCACAAACACCGTTTCAACTTTTTTATCAAAAACACATCAAGTCAAACTCAGCGATTCATTTCGTGCCAGCATAGCTTTGCCCGGTACTAGCCGCCTGCTAGCCGCCTTCTCACTGGCTGTTGACATGCTTCATGAAGAACTCGACCTGCTTTGGATTGCGGAGGACGCGGGGCTGCTTGAACTGCCCCATGAATGCCGTCGTAGTGTCGAACTGGAACTGACGGAACGCCTTGAACGTGCCCGGCTTCACGGTCATCACCTGTGGAAGAGATCGGCGGGGATCAAGGTAGCTCTCAGTAACGTCTTTACACATAGGGGTAAAGATAATGTTCAGTTTTGGCTTGACGGCCGTCTATGTAAGAGCATCAAAGTATGTAGGAAGTAAAAAACAGCTGAAAGCATCGTTCAGTGAAAAGAACACGTAAGTATATAGTCCGACAACCACAGCCCTAATCGAACTTTGCCAAAAAGTATTAAGTACATTTTCATCGCTAATATACTAACTAGAAGACAAAGAAGATGAATTGTAGATACGGATACGTTTTGAACGGAACTGATTAAAACAGAAGATAGTTGCTAAACTGTATGACGTTACCTTCATTGGCGCGATGGAGTCTTTGACCCGGAACGATTTGTACACGAAATGCTGCTCGCACAGCACCTCGTCAATCTGGAAATAAATGGAAATTAGATCGAGGACCAACATGCGCAATGCGCAGCTTAGACTTTGATCACGTGTCTGTGGTTTCCTTCTCATGTGCAGCTCTCAGTTTTTTTTCAAATGTTGTACCTACGCTATCAGTCAATACTTTGATCTACAATTACCTACTTTTTACGTTGTTACGCTCCCCTTTCACATTTTACAGTTTCGTGATGTCTTTCGTGTGTCTCTCTAAGCACGTACAGGGTGGGGCAGCATAATCGGGAATGCTTTTTGGGCTCTGGTCATGAGTAGGCATGGCATTATTTTGATAAATTATATCATGGCAATGAAACGCCCAAAAGTTGTGCATCATCTGACATGACTACATCCATGAGCATGCAACTTCCTGGAAAAGAGCAGCAAAATAGTTCGACGGTGCTCCAAGTGCTTTGCGCGCGCCCATAGACACTAATGTTAAACGAGTAAAACAAGAACATTTTGTTTAAAACAATGCCATTCCACGTAAAGGTTGCTGGACAGGTCAACGTGTTATCACGGACGATAAGGATTGTGTGGGGATACTTAGGACAAAAAGTTAACGTAATCGTCGTAAAATAACTCTTAGCAGAGGACATACAAGATGACTCACTTGAATATAAGGAAGAAGCTCTTGAGCATATTAAAAAGAAACAATGTTCAAAACTTCAGCGACCAAAAATCTTATCACCGACTGGAATACGATAAAAAAGAATGGCATGCCATATAGGGGATTGTATCGAGAATATTGCAGCGGTCATGCAAAGTAAACATCCTGTTGAGGTGATGGACCTATGGGTGGTCTTCAAGGGAGGTGCACGTGGTGCACCCTACTTCATCGAGCCCGGATAAAACGAGCACCTCTGGTAAATACATCCACACTCTGGCAGACTCACGTGGAGTCGTCGGAAGAGAGGATCACTGACGGTCCAGATCACGTCTTACGAGGACTCTGTCCGTGCTGGTACTGCAGTGAGGACGACATGTTATTGTGTAGGGCACCTCCACCTGAGATGAACCAAAAACTTCTGGTCCTTCAACTCCGCCGATTTAAATCCGACCAAATTCTTTATATGGAGCGTTTTTTGGTAGAAGTTTAATGAACAACTTATCATCAGTAAAAACGGTCTTCAGTGCAAGGTACGAAGCTGATGGGCGATCATGGACAAGCAGGAGGTTGCACGTGCATGCGCGTGCTTTTGGACCCGCCTTGAGAAGGTCATCGACGCGAAGGGCGGTCAAATAGGATGAGGGATAGGTAAAAGGTGACCGATTGATGGGATGTTGTTAAAATAGTGCTTGGAGCTATATTTTTAAATTCATGACCAAATAATCCCGTTTGATATTTATTCCCGATTATGCTGCCCCACCCTGTATGCTTGTTTTCATTGACATCATGTCCCTAGGCTTCTCTGCCTGCTCCCGATGGCACTTTTCCATCTAATCCACCAAAATCATCCACCCCTCTCCCTCACCGTCTTCAACTGCTCGGCGGTGACCTCGCCCTTCTCCAGTTCGAGGAAGACCAGGTAATAGGGCGCGCCGGGCCGGGGACTGGGGTCCAGCACACTCTCCGCACTGGTGAAGTCGAGCAGGGTGGTCCCGCTCCAGCGTCCGGCGGCCGTCTGTAGGGCAGCGATGAACGCCTCCTCCGACAGCTTCTCCATGTGCACGTTCAACATCTGGCCGGCCCTGTAGGACAAAGAGGGAAAGAGAGGTTGAGGGAGGGAGGTAGATGGAGTGGAGGGAGAGGGAGCAAACACTGCGCTCACAACAGAGCAAGTATGAAATAATGTAATAAGTGTCCATCATATAGCGTGCAAAGTTCGCAAACGTGCAAACAAGACGCGTAAAAAAAGAAACAAGATAAGTCCAAGAGAGCTTCTTCAAAGGTCATATTTTACGGTGTTATGTGTCAAGCTCCTTTTCATTCAATGATTTTCTGCATGACGTCTTGTGGGTATTGCCATAACAAGTGTCAAATCATTGCATCCGCCACGATTGAACAATACAGGAACACCGCTAAAGAAGGTATCGAAGGCGGACATTTCCAGACGATGTTTCTTACACCCCTTTCTACCTGAACTGGAAGTCGACGCATGGCGCCTGGTGGTAGAAATCGACCACCTTGACGACGTCCCCCAGCCGATACCGGTAGAAACCAGACCAGTTGGTGATCACCGGCTCGTACAGCTCACCGACCTGCAGCGGCCGGAGTGATTTGACAGGGTTAAACGCGTAAACGTGGTGAAACGAAATATCGGCCGTCAGAACCAGTGATGTGGAGCGACGGGCTTGTGAAATAGATGGAGAAGGGGAGGGAGGGACATTGTCTGTAATAAAATAATTTATATATTTCCTAAAATCGTCGATAAATAAAATTGCAGGGCTTTGATGAAAACTTAAATTTAATAGTACGTTTCATAGCCTACAAGAAGCATTGGTAAAAGGCCACGAAGCATATGAACTCGGTTCAATTTTATTCGATCCCTTCTGCTCAACGTCATCAAGCCAAAGCTCCCTGTGCTGTCTTTCGGGCTGATCCTCCGCTTCCGTTATTCGGTACCGACCTTGACCTCTGTGGCGAGCAGCGGCGTGGCTCCCTCCAGCGGCGTCCCGGTGGCGTCCACCGGCAGGAACTCCACCAGAGCCATCGAGGGGATCAGCGCGTAGGCCGGCTCCTCGCGCGCCGACCGCACGTTGATGCCCATAAACGCCTCCGATGAGCCGTACACCAGCGAGACCAGGTCGACATTTCCCAGGTAGGGGAGACACTTCTTCTTGTAGAGCGCCATCGAAGTTCCCGAACTGAGCGCGCTGACGGCCTCTAGGTTCGGAAATATCCTCGATAGGATGCCGTCAAAGCCTGGGAAACAACATAATTGGTATTGCTTCTCAAAGACATTTTGTGCAGTCGAAGGTGTATATAAAGCAGTTCTTTAGTTATTTACTTAAATATGCACTCATGCAATATAAGTGATAAAAATACCGCATAGCTAGATGCTCAAGAAATATTTCTGAAAAAGTCTGCTAATGCCTTTAAAGCAGATACAATTGTAATAAAGTGACTTTAATGAAAACCGCATGACTTCAATTACGACTGACAATTGTTTAATAGCGTTTCCTAGCTGACTAACGCACGGACACGTTAGCATACCTTTATTGAACTCGTTCTCCAATTCGTCGGCCCGCTGCGGGTCGGCCACCAGGTACTTGGTGATGACGCGCCGCTGCTCCTCTGTGAGATCGAGCCCCTCCTTGAGGCGTCCCGACCTCACGTCCGCCACCAGGTCGCGCCAGTTGGTCTCGATGAACATGAGCATGTTGTAGAGACCGGACGCGAACCCGCCCTCGATCCTGCACAGGTTGCGGTCCCTGATTCCGAACAGCAACGACACATACATGGCCTCAGCCTCCGTATCCACCACGTGCGCCTCGAACGGAGTCGACCACTGGGCCAGCAGGATGGACTTGTTGGTGAAGTAGCCGGACAGCGGGCCGATGGGGATGCCAGTCGGCGAGTAGCGCCACCTGGGACGGCACAGAATCTGCATCTCTTTGTACAGCGGACGGTGCGCCGACTTGATCTGCGGCTGGAACGTGAAGAGGCCTGCGAGCATTGAAAGCATGGTGTTTTGCACTTCGCTCGAGATGGGGATGTGCTTCGACTTGCCGGTGGTGCCCGACGAGCAGGCCATCATGACCAGCTTGCTCTTGCCGAGGATGGCGTTGACGTCTCCGTTCTCGGCACGCTCCACGTACTCGGCGTAGTGGCTGTAGGTGGTGACCGGGTGCAGGCGGCGGAAGTCCGCCAGACTGTGGATCCGCCCGAACTGGTGGTCCCGACCGTACTGGGTGTTCTCGTTGGCACGGATCTGACGCAGCACGAACTGCTCCTGAACCTGGAAGAGGAGGTGGGCTGGCTGGGTCAGCGAACAGCGTGTCTCCGTACACCGCGGAATCCTGCAGACATAGGATGTAATTAACATCTAGAAAATGAATGTTTTTTAATCAATGTAGCCATGAAAATTCGAATGAAATGTGTTTCGAAAAAAAAATAGTTAGAATACCTATAATAAAAGTAACGATATCAGATAACTATAAAGTATCCGTAAGTTACGATGTCTTACGAAAAGTTAGGATATAATGTAAATAACGATATTAAATAACTTAACATTATCCGTAAATTACAATATCTTACAAAATGTGATTACGTTTATCTAAACTCGTTTAAACATTCAGCAATGTTGAAATGATTTTCTTTTTAGAAATATCTAAATTATTAACAAAAGAATCTCGAAATTCGTTCGTATCTTTTAGCTTACCGGTAAGAAGTTATCCAGGTCTTTTTTCATTTGTCGGCTTTTAATGGTACCCAGAATAGCTGCCACCACTTCAACGAGGTACATTTCTAGCAGGCTGCGAGTGGTGTGGAATCTCGACTTCTTCCTTGTGTACAAATCCACGGCAAGGATCGTAAACAAGCATATTAACGCTGAAAATGAACAGGAAACTCATTCGTTATAATAGGATTTTTCAGGCCTGTCCGATCCTTTATAGTGCACAAGTGAACACGGCACGAGACGAGCAATAGGAGTGAACGAAAATAAAAAGGTAAAATTAAGAGAGAGATGATATCAAGGCTATAGTGGGGTTATAGCATTCGGCTATAGAAACTAAAATAGAATAGTTATACGATGAATTTTTTGACTGGTCAGTGTATAAGGTATCGGAAATTCACGTGCGCTCTTCACTAAATCGCATGGCTTAAAACGTTTAGACAGCCAAAATCCGACTATAGTAGACTCAGACTGTATCTTATCAATGGCATCTGGGGTTCGCCAGAATCGCGATAGGTAGGTCGCTGAGGTCCCGACCCGCCCTTGACAATCTGAAGAGCCAGACAAGAGCCATGAAGAGCAAGTTTTATCTGGTAATCTTGTAAACGTATGTGACGTGTCATATTGCTGAAGGTCCAATTGCATCACACTGATAAAGGGCATAGGAAGAGGTATGGCATAACGTCGTGTTATAATTGTCATGCTACTTAGCCAAACCGTCCTTATGGCCTTACCGAAAAGAAATATAGGTATGCCATTTCTTCGCAATGCATAACGAGCTGGAACGCTACATGCTTTGCAATTGAAAACCAGATAAGTACTAGAACAGGATTTACTTTGAAGTTAAATAATACGGAATAGTTTATGTTATACATATAATACAATGTAAAATCGGTACATTAAACCACGAGTTGCTCAGGGCGGGGGACGCCTACCTTCACCATTTTTGCTATAGCTAAAAAAGGCACCCCGCAGACGCGCTAAATTTTGGATACCTGTGGAAAATTGATTGAAGCTCATTCATGCCTAGGTTTCAAAAATATCGATAGCATTTTTTTGAGACATTTAAGTTTTGCCGACGTCATGATTTCGGAGTTTTCCACCAAAAACGGCATATGTTTCATAAATCATAAGCACAGAACGGACTAGTGCTGTCAATCGGAACTTTGATCTTCGGAATCCTGATTGTGTCCAATGTCCAATTCGGACTTTGGTTGGACAATGCCACCAGCAGGTTTTAGACGACTTTGGACAATCACTTGTTATACCTCAGCATTTTCATGAAGTAAGCGTGCTTAAAATTGATTGACGAATAGAAAGCTCAGCTTTCGATATGATTAACAGTGTGAGCTGGTTACGAGCGAGCGAGCGCAGCGAGCGAAGCGAGTCTTTTCAATATAACGGAAAAATCTCAGTATGAGCGGCCCGGCCCGGCCCGGCCCGGCCCGGCCCGGCCTGTAACGCTTTTGAGAGGCTTATATCTCAGCAACCGCTGGACCGATTGGCCTGCGGTCTTTTTTGCTGGGTAGCCCCATCCCTTCTACCCCGTAATTGACTACTTTTGATATACCTCAGTGACCGTCGTGGCACGTGCCACGTGAAAAGTCAAGGGTGTTCAAGCTGCTTTGCAAAAGTAGTGATTTTGAGAAGCTCATATCTCAGCAGCCGCTTGGGCGATTGACTTGCGGTAACTTTTGTAGGGTAGCAGCATCCCTTCTACCAAAAATAGGATACTCTCGATGCATGTGGGTCACCCCCAGTGCACGTGCAAAATACAACAATAAGAGGTGCCAAATTTGTTCCCATTTCAATAACTCTGTAATTACTGGGGCGAATTCGCTGAAACTTGGCATACAGGTAGGCACCCACCAGGCAATGCATTCCCATGTGTTGCAGTTAGGGTGCTACTGCACGTGCGCACGTGCAGGGGGCGTTCCCAGATCTCGAGAACGGCTGGGCCGATTGCGCTCAAATTTGGTACACGGTTGGGGACCGGTTAGAAGGGTGCCGTGCAAAAGTCAGTTTGGACCCCGTTTGCACGTGCGCACGTGCAGAATGCCGCTTCCAGATCTCAAGAACGGCTGGGCCGATTGCGTTCAAATTTGGCACACCGCTAGCGACCGGTTAGAAGGGTGCTTTGCACAAGCCCGTTGGAAGTACCCTCACGCCCTTCCGCACGTGCAGGGCTCACTATCTCGCTCGCTCGTTCTTCGCCCAAAAGGCGTTTTACTGGTAATAGTAGGTAGGTATGCACATTAACAGAAAACAAAATAGTATTGTAGAGTGTTAACTATTGCGTAAGTTTCGGACCTCCTTGGACAAATTGCTGGCTTGGACATTTGTATACGGACAATCGACGTAAGTATTGGACATTGGACGGACATTGGACATACATATGCTGAAACTGACACCACTAGAACGGACGTACAGACAAGCGGTAAACGCTATTATAAGACTGCTAATACCACTTGTACTCAATTGGATTTCTACGATTTTTGATAATTTCTAGTGACATCTTCGCGACTAAGCTGCATGAATTTCTTAATTGATTTGTGACCAAACACGTACTCATATAATAGAATGAATGTTACCATCGTGTAGGTACCTACGTGTTCTACGCCTAAAAATACCATCAACATGCTTCATGTGCTGCGGATGCCAGATTTGAATTTCGAGGATATGTTCTTGCCTGGCTGACCTGAACTTGACCCTGACGTATGCTTGACTGACCCCTGCATGGATCTGACAGTCGTGTAGCACTTCAATGAAAGATTGTGCACAGTCTTGACAGAGTTTATTACGAGAGAAGCCCATGAGCACGAGGTTCTAAAGTTCATGCTTCTGGACAAGGCCTCGTCTAACATGTTAACTGGGGGGGGGGGGCAAACCCCGCAGTCATCGGCCTGCCCCCCCCCCCCCCAGTCAGGGCAAAAAGTCACTACTGGGGGGGGGGCCGGCAATAGCCAGCAAACGAGTTTTTATTTCGAGGCGTCAGTGCACATAAAAACAAATGCGTAAACGAAGCAATGTGAGCAGTGAGCACATTGATATACCCGATTACCTAGGGCTGTTATCAAGTGTTTATTTTGTTTGCCTGAACCATTTTTTCGCTCAGCAATACGTTACATTTCGTCTTTTCAGGCGCCCAACTCCGTACCCCGGATATTCTTTTTTATGAATTTAGTCCGAACCTTTTGAATGGAAGGACTCACAAGGACAGAGCCCCGTTAAACAGAGCTTGTTGCGTTGGCCCTGCCCTCTACCCTCCGATCGCGCAATTCCTTATCTATGGCAGAATTTAGAGCCCAAAGTTTAACGTATGCACATAGCCGCGCACGGCCGGTCCCCTCACTGACTTCGACTGGCTACGGCCTGTCACCAACCGTAACCATACTCGCCAGGAGGCTCATAAACATCGAGCGACTCTGTCGCGCTTCGAACCCGGACTGTTATAACCGGGACGCGTGCCCTCACCACGCGGAGTCCAACGCTCTACCGGCAAAAAATTCTCCTTTACGTATCAATCTGTTGTTTCTGTTCAGTGTTCACAGGGCGTCAATCTCTTGTTTTTGCCTATCGTCGTCCTCACTATATGCGGCGTCCAACTTCTAGCTGGACGGTCACCGGTGTGCGGCTTGAGTAGCTCCTAATCGTAATGAAGCAGGCTCCAGTTCTGGGTGGTCGTACGTACGTAGGCGCAGATTGGTGGCCCATCAGAAACCGATGTGGTTCGCAAAAAAAAAATATGCGACAAAAAAATATATGGCATGTAAATTCGTTAGACAAGGCACTGCCACTCAAACAAATGCTTAACACCGAGAAGTGTGATTATTACTGTCTGATGGGGCAATGTGAGGAGGCTACAAACTAATATAAAAGTATGGGTCTGATTGCCTACAATTTCCTTTTTTTTTGTTAAAAGATATTCATGGTGTCAGGGTTGTGATGAAAAAATAAGTGGCCTAAATCCGGCGAGAAAACAGGATTTGGGGTACCCTAGGTTTGGCTCCTTCAGTCTCTGGCCCCCCAGTGAAAATTCCTTAGACGAGGCCCTACTACTGGAAGTCCGTTCACAGGTGTTTGACCTGAACTTGACCCGACCTTGGCCCTCAAAATTCAATTTTCAAGCACTCATCAGAAGTGTTTCGTCGTGTTCCTTCGTTTGCCGCCTCGTGCGTTTCGTTGCGTCTATTGGTCCTCGAGTTATCGGCTGGGGGCGTTTAACGCCCCCCCCCCCCCCAGCAAACGGTGGGTGGCGAAGTACCCCAGCAACTGCCGGGCTAGAAAATAAGTTGATGCAAATTGTTTGCAAACCTAAACAAGACGACACCATTTGTATACAAAGAAAGCAAATCAAATCTGATGACCAAGAGTTGTAAACCAAAAATTGAAATTAAAAATTTTGTTTTACAACTCTTGGTCATCAGATTTCATAAATATGTCTAACAATACTGAACAAAGCAAATCAAGCTGACCGAATTCAGTTTGGAGAAACGTTGAATATATCCTTTCTGCTCTTTTGTCATGTTGTCTGCTGCCCTTTTGTCAATCTTTGATAACGGAGCGAGCGAAGCGAGCGAAGTCTTTCGTGGAACGAAAATTTCTGAGTATGAGCGCCCGGCCGTGGCCACGCTTTTGCGAAGCTTATATCTTCGCAACCACTCGACCGATTTACTTGCAGTAATTTTTGTAGGCTAGCTTCATTCCTTCTACCAAGCATTGGACTATTCCCGATGCATGTGGGTGACCCCTCATGCACGTGCCAAGTGCAAAACGAAGAGGTGTCAGTTTTGTAACAATTGCAATATCTAGGTAACCACTGGGCCGATTGCGCTGAAAGTTGGCATGCAGGTAGGCACCCACTAGGCAATGCATATCCATGTGCTGCAATTGGGGTTCTGCTGCACGTGCGCACGTGCAAGGGTCGATTCCAGCTCTCAAGAACAGCTCAACCGATAGCGCTGAAATTTGGTAAGTACATGGTTAGGGACCATGGTTAGTATGGTGCCGTGCAAAAATCCGTGGGGACCCAGTTGGCACGTGCGCACGTGCAGGGTGCAGTGCACAATTTAGTTGGAGGTACCCCCTCGCAATTTCTCACGCGCAAGGTCCACCCTATCAGTCGCTCCATTGTCGCCCAAAAAGGTGTTTTACTGGTAAACCTTGGTACTTGTATGCATAGGCGCGGGAGCCGGGGGGGGGGGCAGTGGGGGCAGCCTGCCCCCCCCCCCCCAACTCTGGGGCCGTGGGGGCGGTGCCCCCACAGCTTTGAGACGGAATACCACACTTTTTTGCAAATGTTTTCTTTTTTTGTTGAAAAAGCCGAGGGGTGAAAAATAAGTGGCCTAAAACCGGTGAGAAAACTAGATTTGGGGGTACCCTAGGTTGATCTCTATTATGGTGTGCCCCCCCCCCCCCCCAGTCGGAAAGTAGTTCCCGCGCCCCTGCTTGTATGCAATGTGCATTGTGCACTGTGTAATGTTTATAAAGGTGTATCTTACGGTCACGTTTCGAGTACAGGGCATACCTATTGGGCGTAAACTTTAAACATTTACATCCTATAGTATCCCAGTGTACCTTCGTAAAACGTACCTTCATAAAACGGCACGTTTAGCGCGATGTATCATTTAAAAATAAATGTTTTTTTGGTACCGTTTGACGATTGATTAATCGTTATAACGTTGCATAAAGGCTCATTTTTAACGGGAAATGCTCTGAAATTTGTACTGAATATGCCTATTGCCTTAATAATTAAAATGTATATTCTTATGATTACGAAGCGAGTACATATATTCTTATGATTATGAGCACAAGCGTGGTAATCTTTTCACGAGGGACCGACCTCGTGAAAAGATGGCACGAGTGAAGATGAAACGATGCTGAAGAAAACTAGTTGCTATAAATTCTTTAACTCTTTAATTCTGTAAGCTCAAAAACGGGTGATCTTGTCCCGGCTGGGAAAGATCACTTGATCTTTTCCCTTACACTTGATAGTGTGTAAGAAATGAAATTATGCATGGGAAAATAAAAAATTATCAGCATCGTTTCCCGAGTCGTTATCACTCGTGCTGATAGTTCTGTAACCGAGCGACGAGGGAGCGAGGTTTTCTGGAACACGCGAGGAAAAAATATCCGATCTTTCACGAGTGAGCCATGAGAAATCCTGTATCTTTCTAGGTAGAAGGTTATTCACAATGCATTTAAGTGTTATAGTGAAATATATGTATTTATAAAAAGTATATTTCGTGTAATTTGTTAGGGGTGTGAGATAGAAATATCCCTACACTGTAGACCCAATGGCTAATAAACCTCTACTAGACAGATAGAAAACATTTAAATATGTGGTCATTCAACAGAATACATAAAAGACATAAGCGTTTAACTGTCCAATCTAAAGTAGCGTTGTGCACGAAGATTGTCTCACCGTATCCCTTATCCACCTCAGGACTCAATAGCGTGTTAAAACGCGTCCTCTAGATCCCAAACTCGTTACCTGTGAAACACCATTGTAGCACCGACCAGAGCAGCGCCATGATGAGGCCGGAATGAGCGGCCGCCGCCGAGAGCTGGTGACCGAAAATGCCACCCCTCAGCGTGACACTGCGGCGAGGTCAGGTGAGGCACACCGCCTTCACTGTGCTGTCCTATCGGATGGCCGATTAGATATCAGACGTCGCCTCGTCGAGGTGATCGGATAGTTGGCGCACGTGAGGTGCGTGTTTGCTTTTGTTAAGATGAGGTTGCAGTTGTTTGCCGGAGGTCACGACGTATCTCACAGAATGGCATACTTTCCATTTCAGATTCTTCCAGATAGGCAGTGTGAAATATGGCCTACGGATGTAACTTTTATTCTACATTTATGTTAGGAAGCCATAATTATACATATATTAAATAGATTATAAAGATTATATTCTGTCCCGTATGATAGTTAAGCCTGTCCCATAGCTCAGTTGGTAGAGCATCGCTCTCCCGGTAGTGAGTGCCCGGGTTCGAGACGCTCTGGCGCTCGATATTTGAGACTCCTGACGGGGATGGTCTGCGGTTGGTGGGAGCAACCGCAGCCAGTTGAAGTCAGTTGAGTGGGACAGGCCGCCTGTCCGGCTTTGAAGGGCACGCTAAACTTTGGCATCTAAATTCTCCCGTTACCCGAGAATTTACCCGGAATACCCGGAATTGCGCGATCGGACGGTAGGGGTCGGAGTCTACGCTACAAGCTCTGCTTAGCGTGGACTCCGGCTTTGTCAATCCGTCCATCCAAACATTCGAACTAAATTTATAAAAAAGATTATATAGACATTTCATCCGACCGGCGACCACCTTTTGGACCAGAGCCGGCCCCTGATGGTCTCACGTGCGCGCCGGTATGGGAGGCTCGTGACCGTCTCTTCGAGGGCGTAACGCTAAACGCCATGGCCTGTGGGAGCCTCTCGCAGGTCCCTATAAGGGCTGCGTCAGGCCGCCAATGAAGGTCTAATGCAAGCGTCCGAGGAGGCACATCCCTACTTCTGCGAACCCTGTACGCCGGCTCATGTAGGTCCAATGCCGATTTCCGAGGGCTCCACGTTGGTCTCTGAGAGACCCAAGACAATCTCCGTTGGACTCCGTGCCTCGGTGTCTAAAGGTCCCACAGGCCGTCCCTGAGGGCTATTTGCAAACCACTATAAGGGCCAAGAAGGCTTACTGAAAGCTCCACGCTGACTCTAGAAATTCCATCACGGTCTCTCTAAGGACCCAAACCGGTCTCAAAGGCTCTTAGCCAGCCTGTGAACCCCTCCCCCCCCCCCACACACACACACCTGTCCCTGACGACGCAGCACCAGCATCTGAGAGGCGCTCCAACAGAGCCCGGAGGCGGAGTCGGAGGCTGCAGTTGCCGGCTGGCCATTGCTGCTCGCTCCCTTTCACCTCGAGGCGGAGTTTGTGTGTAATGATAATGGCATTGCAAAAATATGCATGGAATTAATATCACAATCTCTCTAGATTTTTCCTGAAGTTCATGGACCGGCCTCGAAGACCATACGAGCCCTTCCCATGCCTGCTAAAAATCATAAGAAGAGCTTAGCCCGGCTTGGTCACAGGCTTCCGTGCCTCACTGGGTCTGTGTTCTGAATCAGCTATAGGCATTCACGCTAATAATACATATGATCTGCACTGCCGGACGCAGACGGCAGAGGGTGGCGCACGGGTCACGTCTCATCTTGAACCCGATTTATAGCTTAATTAACCCGTTGTCAGTGTGTGGAAAAGTGAACGCTTGATGTTTGTAGGCATTTAATCTCCAGTTTTATTATCTCGGTTTTCGTTCCGAGAAGAGCTGGTAGGTTTGGATGCCTTGGGCTGGAGTGGGGGGGGGGGCTTGAAATTGAAAACACTACCAGAATCGAATACTGTATATTCCTGGCCGAAAAATTCGAAAGGCTCAGCCCCCGCGTGCCTCCATTCCCGCGTGTATACCTAATGAAAATATGCCCCAATCCAAATCCCCCTCCTGGATCCGTCAGTGCCCTCAGCAGGGGTGGAGAAATATGCCGAGTTTGGGTTGCACGGGCGCAACAAATCCGCCGCCGCCCTAGCGGTGACATTGACCTTCGCCGTCTGGTGCGGCTCCAAAGCCAAGCCGGCGCAGCCGGCGTGAAATTGGGAAGACTCGTGCTACCTCAACGAGTCAACTCGGTACAATTGTTCACCCCTGCCCCTCAGAGAGTATGTGGAACATGCACCTCTAATCTGAATACTCAGTAGTCAGTCGGCAACGCGCAGAGACAATCAATCCAATGTTCAGCAACGGCGCTGTGTTTTGATGAGCTTGAAATCTGGCGGCTCTTATTGGCACTCGTCCAGCAGATAACGCCCACCAGCGGAAAATATTCCATCCGGCAGCGCTGCAAAAATTTAAACTTATTATTTCTATCTAAGCTTAATATCGCTTGATGCTCCAGATACTGCCTATTTTATTTTGTTATTTATGCAATAGACGTACAAAGAATCTATTAAACCTCTTTTTCTAAGGAAATCTTTGGTGATTAGCAAGCCGCTCACGTCGACAAAAACACCGCTACGACGTAGAAGTTCTGCGTAGAAATACGCAAATACTGGAACTTCTGAAGTATTTAGAGCTTGATCCAGTTTGGTGTAATCAAACTGAATCAGCCAGAATCATGAATAGCATACCTAACCAGAATGGCATTGGACTTGAGCAGCAGGTAAGAGATTTCAAAGTGCGCATGTTTTGTCGCCTTTGTGACTTGTCACTGGAATGGATTGAAAATATGTAACATAGGTCCTTTTCAGGTTAATATATCAATGAGTTTTGATCCTGCCTTTCAGTTTGCAGGCTTGGACCTTCGTGGAGGCTTTCCACCCCCTCAGGCAGCTCAGCGATATGTCGCTCCACCTCATCCTCGGATGGATCAGTTTGATCGGACTGGAAATCAAGCATTTAACAATTTTAGAGGTGAGTTGGCTGAAGCAGAGTGAATCTATCCTTAGCAATTTTTATTAAATGTTTTGAGTTAACTTTGAGTAGTTCAGCAGCTGTACCTATGGCATTATTTTTGCATTATCTTGAAATTTTACTGCTGTTCAACTGCCTATGCTGATTGCTGGGTGTTCCCATGCAAAATATGGTCAAGATCCATCTGATAAGATCCCAAATATACACGAGTGTATTTATGTTTTGCAAAAGATCTGTTTAAATGGCTCATAGTTTTTGCTAAAAATAATTCAATTATTAACTTAAACATTATTAGTTTCAATTGTTCAATTGATTTTAACTATAAACTTTGATGGTAGGTACTATAGTTACCTAATTAGGAAATTTGGTATATTTTCCATGACTATCCAAACTATTGGAGGCATTTTATAGTGAATTCTTTATATTAAAATGGCAGGGATGTGGCCCTATGTGGAAATATTGATAGAGGCTGCTCAATGTCATATTAAGACACAATTTGTTGTCATTAGATGCCAAGGAGTATTTTTAGAAAGATATAGGTAGGTGCTTCAACACAGGTTATTAGCTCTGCCTATTCCAACTGCACACTGGTTCAGTTAGAGATAGACATTCTTATTGTTTCTCTCCTTAAACTTGTTCTAGTAGTGAGCACCGTGCAGCTGCCAAAACTGCTATACAGCCTTTTCAACCAACTTTTCTCCAGTAGGTTTACTTTTTACATCACAATAGTATTTAAACCATTGTCACATTGCATTGTACAACCAGTTATGTGCCCTTTGTGGAGTATTTTTTGCATGGACATTGGACTTGGAATATCATTGTAGCCCTTCTCATTTCCTGTAATATTGTGGTGATTGTGAGACCAGTATGCATTGCACAGCATACAGTGCCCTATGCTATGTGTATTGAGTACTTGAGTACCTCATGAGACCACGACTGACTGCACCAGTATGTTCTCCTGAGTGTGACGGTGTACGTGTGCTCTCCACAGTGGCCGGCCTGCCGGTGGGTGGCGGCTACACGCGGGGCGCCGCCGCCGGCCGGCCCGGCTTCGGCGCGTTCGACCCGCGCGGCCCGCCGCCGCCGATGCCGCCCAACTTCGACCGCGGCTTCCAGCAGCGCGGCGGGTACGGCGACTGCAACCGCGTCGACCGCGACCGACGTCCCGGCTACGGCTTCGACCGACCTGCCAACGGGTCTGCGCGCGGCGCCGGGTGTGACGATTTCGGGGCCGGCCGCGGGCGGGCGCGCGCCCTCCGCGGCCGGCCCGCGGGTGCCGAGATGGCGTGGCGTGAGCCCTCCTAAACACCGAGGCAGCCTCTCATCCCGTTCGCCGCAGCCGACGAAATTGGTGGCGCCCGGGCCGGAGTCGCGGCCCGGGGCGCGCGGTTGTGCCTGGCCTGTGCGCTCGGCACGTCGGCACTGCATGTGCTCGACACACGTCCGCTCTGTCTGTAGCTGGTCCTCTCTCGCTCGCGAGGGCGGCGCGCGCGGACGGCGGCGGGGCGGCCGGCGGCGGCGGAAGGCGCCCCGTCGCCGCCGCCGCCCCCGCCGGCGTCCGGCGCTCGCCGCCCGCAGAGCTCCGTGTAGGGTTGTCGGCGTCCTTTCTCTCTCTATTTGCTCTCGGTCCGACGTCAGGTCGGCCACGCACGCCCCTCGGTCTTGGCCTGTCCCGAGCTGCTGTACCTCCACCTTCATCCTGCTTGGTACCCAAACCACCTGGGGTGGTCCGAATGCAAAGAAAATGCACATTGATGTTAGATGCAAGTCCAAACTGTTGCTGAGATATAGCAATGCAGACCGGTGGTTTTGTTTGAATTGCAAATGAGCAAAGATACAAAAATCAGAGCATGCCATGTTTTCTCATAGCATGCTATCATCAATTGTGGTAGTCTCAGTCTACTTATTCTAATGTTCTGTTCACTCGATCTTGAAGCTACATTTGCCTTCTCTTGTATCCCACATTCAATGTGCATTTTCTGTGATGGTTTTCTCTGCTTGTCATATTTGTCAGACGCTGAACAGCTACATAGATGTGTATTGTGTATAGCTGTGTTGTATTCACAGACATTAGGCATGATACATAAATGTTGCTGTTCTACCATGGCTTAATAAGTTTGACATTTTTAAATGGCACTACATATTTTGCCATTTATTGACATATGATCAAAAGAAGTTGATGTCATTGGTATGAGGAGGAGCATGCTGCTTGTGCTTGAGTGTGAACTGGAATATTCTCTAGATACTATTTTTTATTCTGTTGTTTTTGCTTTTACGGTGTTGTAGGATAATGTATAAATAGTCCACCATGCCTATTCAATCGATAGTAACGTATATTAAATTACCGAGACCAAATCGGACAGATCACGGAAAGCATTCTATTTTTATCTGATTGCCTGATCGCAACCGAAAATTTCATCTCCATCGGCTGCCAATCCAAAATGATCTCATTTCGCCGAATTGTTCAGAACACAGCACGATTCCTGATCGCGCGCGTGACTGTTTCGTCGCACACCTAATTCCGATAGTATCGTGGAAACCGCTGACTCCGTGTGGTCGGCAGGTTCGCTGGTCGTGGCGGCCGCTTCGATCGCGCCGGCGACTTCGGCTTCGGGGACCGCCGCGGCGGCTCCAACAACTGGAACAGCTATGGCCGCAACAACAACAGCCGGTCGGGGTGAGTCGGTCACCGTCTCTGACGAGTCCAGGCTCTTGGTGCATGAGCTGGTCTGGCTCCCTCTCCCACCCTGTCTCTCTCACCTCTTTTTCTTTATTCCCCGTCTTCTTCTCACCCTTCCTTTCTCACTTTCCATTCCTTCTCCATCATTCCTTTTCCCTTCTCCCCTCCGTCCTACTCTTCCCTCTCTACCCTCTGTATCTCCCTTTCTCCCTCCCTCCCACTTTCCTCTCATCCCATGCTTCTGTCCCTCACTCCCTTCCCATTGCAGTGCTCTTACCAATATACCTCACCGATTGTAGGCGCCACCCGATCAGCCCGGGCGGGCACCCCACCGTTTCACCCCGACCCCCGCCGGGGTTCACGGGGTCCGGGGTGGGATCACCCCCGGAGTTAGGCACGGTTCGAGCCGAGCTGACGTGAGTCAGTTAGCGCCGCTGTTGGTGGGCTTCTCCGGGCCGCTAATCGTGTGCAGAAGGGGTCGCACGGTGCGACTTGGCCACAAGTGTCTGCCTTTGACGGTCGGCGGTGACTGGGGAGGATCGGAGCCGAGTGGCTTAAGTGCTTAATGGGATAGTGAGAGGATATTGTGTGTCATCGCGGGTTTGATGTATGTAAAGCTGGTGAAGCCTCCACTGTAGCGAATGGAGTGGAGGCACTTTAATTAGTTAGCGGGGTCTAGGGATTCTTCCCTCAATCAAGAAAATATTGATACAGCAAGAAATTACTCAGCTTTGCTTCTACCGCTTTGCGAGTGTGATTGATTAGCTGGGTCCAGGGATTCTTCCTTCAATCAAGAAAGTATGCATACAGTAAGAAATCACTAAGCTTTGCTTCTATTCATTTGTATCATCACCGTTAGTTAATGAGACTCGGGGATTCCCATTGTTTACGTTGTGTTTGAATGGTCAAGTGTTTTTAGTAAGGCAAATGATGTTATTTTGTCGCCAAACCGACTGAACAAACCGGATAAACGCTGTGTTGACACATTGTTCACAGTCACAGTCCGTTTTTAGTCGTAAATCGTAATGTCTGGCTATTCGGAAGCGCTTCACAAACGGATGTCATATGGTTAGTTCTGTTGTTTCGTCAGCGAAACGGCCCGTTGGGTAATCGGAATTCGACCTTTTGACCTGTTGATCTGTGTAATTGGCCTGCTACATCCCCGTTCTATAACTTAAGACTTCTGTTGAACTGTGGCTGATGGTTGGTTGCGGGACGAGTGGCGTGTCCCGCTTAGTTGAGCGTTAGTTGACCTCAGTATGGACCTCTGCCTTCCCAGTGCCGTGGGTGGTGCGCTGGGGCGAGCTTTAGTTTACCTTTGCTGACCTATCTCCCCAGTGCCAGCGGCGTGGTGCGCTTGGGAGAACGTTAGTTGACCTCTACTGAACTCAAATGACCTCTATTAACCTCTAATGACCTCTGATGACCTCTGACCTCTCTTTCTCCCCAGCGCCAGCGGCGTGGTGCGCTGGGGCGAGCGTGAGGAGGACCTGCGCATGAACGACCGCTGGAAGGAGCCCAACGAGGCCGACTGGACGGTGCCGCTGCACCGCGACGCCCGCGTCGAGGAGGAGCTCTTCAAAAACGTGAGCAGCTGCCGCCGACCGGCGCCTCCCGGCTGCTTATGGTTTCTTTTTCACTTGTGTACTTTACGTGTGTTTGTGTGGATTTATAGAGTGGCGTATAATTCTGCCGTATAAAGGCAAAACCCATTATGTTCGGGTGACCTCTGACCTGAGGCAATGGCCTTTGACCCGACATAATGGTTTTTGCCTTTGTACGGCAGAATTGGTAACCACAAGCTCTTTTCGCCTTGGTATCATAAACCGGTCTAAAATGTGCGAATTAATTACTTTTATGTAACGTTTGGGTTCGTTGAGCAGACGCTGCCATTAAACAACGGCGAACATTTGTGACTCTGAGCAGTCAATGAAGCAAGATGTTTTGCTATATGTGATTGCCTTATCTTAGCGCCTCCAGGGCCCAGGCTACTCCTGAAGGCCAGCTCAGTGTCTTGAACCAGTCATTTCGCTCATTCGTCACGTATATAAATGTCGTACATCTTTCGCGACTGTGGCTCCCCTGTGGCGGTGTCGCGGTCAGATTGTGGATTGTACTGGGCGTACCTCGCTGACAGCGCGGGCGCTGTGGTCACTGACGACCGATTCTCACTGTAATCTCACCCTCGGGAATGTGATAACCCCCTCCAATCCCGCCGCACCTCACACCAAGTCGCTCACACACCCTGTCTCACCAGCCCTTCTCACCAGCCCTTCTTACCGCTGACTTTCTTTCCAGGCGAGCACCGGCATCAACTTTGACAAGTACGACGATATTCCGGTGGATGCCACCGGTAACGACGTACCCGAGTGCATCAACTCGTTCAAGGAGCTCGACTTGACGCCCATCATCATCGAGAACATCGAGCTGGCCAAGTATACGACACCCACTCCCGTACAGAAGTATGCGTTCCCGATCATCCTCAAGTCTCGCGACCTGATGGCCTGCGCCCAGACGGGTTCGGGCAAGACGGCCGCGTTCCTGGTTCCGCTGCTGAACCAGATCTTCATGAACGGGCCGCAGGGCAACGCGCCGCCGCCCGATGTCAAGGTGGGTCACCGGGAGGGGATGCGATGACTATGAGAGGCGAGGGGCTTGGACCAGGCTGGGGTGGGAACTTAGGAGTAAAACAACCTTAGATGTGTGGGGAGGTGAGAAAGTAGGGAAGACAGGGGATGGTTTGCAGGTCTGGTGATGAGTCTAAGGTAGGTGATAAAGACCGATGAATGGTTGGCAATAGCCAGCTAGTTTTGTGAATGCATAGTTCTTACTACTGAAACTTACGTCGTAGTGTTCCCGCATGACGCCTTTTGTTGCTACTGCTTATCGCGTACCGATGTCTGCACATCTCACCGTACCTCCCGTCTCCCCTTTCAGCGTCCGATGGGCGGCCGTAAGAAGCAGTTCCCGCTGGCCCTGGTGCTGGCTCCGACCCGCGAGCTGGCCACCCAGATCTACAACGAGGCGCGCAAGTTCTCGTACCGCTCGCACGTGCGGCCATGCGTGGTGTACGGCGGCGCAGACGTGGGCGGTCAGATGCGCGACCTGGACCGCGGCTGCCACCTTCTGGTGGCCACCCCCGGCCGACTCGTGGACATGCTGGAGCGGGGCAAGGTCGGCCTCGAGAACTGCCGCTACCTGGTGCTCGACGAGGCAGACAGGTGGGTGGTGGAGAGGGCTGGGAGGGGAGGGAGGGGTCCGGCAGGTGCGAGCGCTCCCACAACTCCGCCCGTGGCAGTGTCGTAAACTGGGAAAAGATAAAGAGTGATGTAATGCCGGCGGTATATTTCAGAGGTGGAGAGCGGCTTTGATTGCCGAAACTTTGAATCGAGTGGTGAATGAGACAAAGTTCACTGATTTAATATGTTTTTGATTGCATCATTGTCGATTTAATCAAGTAGTGAATGAGAATAAGTTCACGGATTTAATGTTGTTTTGATTGCGTCATTGTCGATTTTCCCCATACTTATGCAGCTGACGATGATCGCTGGCCAGCTGCTAACCCGCCTCTGCCGTTTGTTGCCAGGATGTTGGACATGGGCTTTGAGCCGCAGATCCGTCGGATCGTGGAGCAGGACACGATGCCGCCAACCAAGGACCGGCACACCATGATGTTCTCGGCCACCTTCCCCAAGGAGATCCAGGTAAGATCCAAATCCATTAGCCAGGCTCCCATAGGAAATCCATGTAAGATCTGGATCCACTGGTCATAGTCCCTAAGGAGATTCAGGTAAGATCCAGATACACTGGTGACGTCCCCTTGGAAATTCATATCCACTGGCTATCTTCCGCCTTCGATACTTTCTCGGCGCTCTCAATCGCTCTGTAGCGCGGAAGTTCGCTGTATGATAGCTGATTCGTCGAGTAGGTACCGGCTCAGAGTACGTTTCGGGGTTATGTACGGCTACTGCTGAACGGCCGAACGGAGCGGCCATGAGGTGCAGTGACGTAGATTCTCAGTACCATGAGCAGTGGTGACTGTGGTGTCGGTGTTATGGGCGCCTGGTGTCGCTCGCCCGTTATGCCGGCCCCTGCCACTGCTGCCGTGTACCCGCCAGTCTCAAAACTCTGGCCCGGTTGTTGCGCCACACTCGGGTGTCCCCCGGGCCGTGGGTCGGGTAGGTCGGGGCTCTGCCAGTCTGTAGGCACCATGGCTCAATCGTATAAACGCCGTGGAATGACTGGCTTAAGTTCAGCTGCAGAAAACTGCCATCAAATGCAAAATGGTTTTCACGCATTTCATGCTATCGTATGTTGACGGTCCAAAGAATTAATCATTTCGTTAACTCGGATAACCGTTTGTCAGCACTGATATTGTAAATGTTGCCAAATGCCGTGAATAGAATAGTACGGCATTTTATCAGATTGGGCCCGTGAGAGGACGGCGGTCGGCCGCCCGGTCGGTCGCCGTTTATAGCTGGCCTGCCGAGCGGGCCGGCTGTCGTCAACCTATAAATACCCTCCCAGCGTCAGCGGCCCGGGGGCAGGGAGGGAGGTCCGTTCATGGGTCGTTCGAGCTCTGGCAGGCACAGTCGTTTCAGGCTCACATCGATCGTTAGACTGGAATGGTAGTTGGCGGTGTATGCCGATCATTCAGACTTGATAAGTCTACATTAAATGTGCCTCTATTTATATTTTGTATGACTGTCTCAGAAGAACTCCCCTTTGCATTATTTGTTTGACGCCCTCTCGTCTGCTCGGTGACCGCACCCCCTCCTGTTTCTGGTGTACCACCTCTCCCAAGTGGCCCCAGGGCCCAGCTATCTATCGTACTTGCACGGACCCCAGCACCCCATGCCGTTAGTGATCGGCCGAGTACCTGGGTTCGCCGTGCTTTAGTGCCTGACGCTAGGTGGCGGCCTCGTCGCACGCTTTGTGCTCGTGTCATCGGGTATCATATGTCAAATAATCGATCACCCATTCAGCCATGTTTGCTCTGCTAACGCGTTTGCCATTTTGCCATTTGCCGAGATCCGTTGTCTTGCCAACGGGCATCGCCTGTATAATAGGCATGACACCAATAGACCAGTACAGCTATCCACATAAAAGGTGTGCTGTTATTTACTTATTTTGCTGGTAAAGGAACGTTGCACGGCTACGTGTATCACGGTTGAGCTGAATGAAGTCTCTTTCGACCATCGTTCTGCCTTAGCTGCAGGAAAGAGATTAGACCAGTTTTCTCGGATTTGATGGTGCGTACCGGGCGGTGTTATAAAAGACTTGTCGCCATGGATTTTATGGCGTGTGAGTTTAAAAATTATTCGAGCCAGTGCACTGGCTCGAATAATTTTTGCACTGCATTGCACCACTGCAGTGGCGCAATGCAGAGATGTACGTCATCAGGTGCGACACCGATAGTCTGGGGAAATATGATGACGTTGATGGGAGATTTATAGCCAGGGGAATAGGATTTGGCAGCCGGGACCTGTGTGATGTGGGATAGTGTTACCAACAAACTGTCCGTCCCACCCCAGCGATGGAGTCCACGGACTTCCCACCGACAAAACCAATGTCCCAATGTTCTTCGACAGCTGTCCAGCCTCCCTCTAACCCTCTCCTCCCCCTCACAGCGTCTGGCCCAGGACTTTTTAAACGACTACATCTTCTTGGCGGTGGGTCGCGTCGGCTCGACTTCCGAGAACATCACCCAGGAGATCGTCTGGGTGGAGGATGACCAGAAGAAGTCGTTCCTGCTGGACCTGCTGCAGGCCACGCAGAACAAGGAGGGTGTCACTGCCGAGAACGGTGGGTTGGAGGGAGTGGTAGGAGGAGGGCCCGGAGGGGTGGGCGTCACTGCTGAAAACGGTGGGTTGGAGGGAGAGGTAGGGGAAGGGGAGGGTGTGACTGCTGAAAACGGGGGGTCATGGGGAGAGGTATGGGGATGGGTGGGGCTCAGGGTGACCAGGGGATGACCAGAACGGTGGGTCGGAGGGGCTGTCTGGAGGGAGGCCGGGTAGTGGGAAGGGTTAGGTGTGCATGGGAGTAACGGGTGATCCAGGGGACGCGGGCGGAGTAGTGTTGTTGGGATGGAAGGACGGGTTGTCCAGGAGTGTCCAGAATGGTGGGTTGGTAGGGGAGTCTGGGTTGGGACGTGAGAGCACGGGTCAAATAGGTAGTGTTCCATGGATTGAAGTCGGCAGTGTGTGGACTGTTGGTGGGTTGGATAAGTCGGAAACGGTGTCTGGTAGGTCAGGCTAGTTGGATGAAGCTTCAGACGAGGTGTGGTACGCCTACCCGCGCAGCTATGTTTGTTTGGGCGAACCTGGGCCGGTGTCGGGTAGCCTATGTTATTTGGATGGAACGGGAGTTAAGTTAGCAGTTGGCATTGTGCACGAGTTCGATGGGCGGCGTTAACCCGGCAGTTGCTGGGGTATTTCGCCACCCACCGTTTGCTGGGGGGGGGGGGGCGTTAAACGCCCCCAGCCGATAACTCGAGAACCAATAGGCGCAGCGAAACGCACGAGGCGGCAAACGAAAGAACGCGACGAGACGCTTCAGATGAGTACTTTAAAGTTGAATTTTGAGGCCACAGGTCGGGTTAAGGTCAGGTCAAACACCTGAAATCGGGCTTTCAGTAGCGTGGACTTCAGGACTTCGCAATGGGCGCCTCTCGTCATAAACTCTGTCAAAACGGTGCACAATCCATCATATAAGGTCTACAGGAGTGTCAGCTCCATGTAGGGGTCAGTCAAGCATAGGTCAGGGTCAAGGTCAGGTCAACCGGGTAGGCACATATCACCGAAAATCAAAACTGATATTCGCAGCCTGTGACACATGTTTTATGTGTAATTTGGGGCGTAGAACACGATGGTGACATTTATTTTATCATATGTGTACGTGTTTGGCTCAAAAAGTTCAATTTAAGAAATGCATCTATCATGGTCGTGAAGTAGTCACGAGAAATTGCCAAGATTCAGTTCACGATTTTGGAAAATGCGGAACGATAATCAATAATCGAAGATAGCCATTTGATTGTTCATGGTATTGGCAGTCTAATGGCGTTTACGGCATGTCTGTATGTCTATTCTGTGATTTTATATGCTTTTTTGAACATATTTATTTATTTATTTATTTATTTATTGAACGTCTTTGGACCATCCACAGGAGCCGTGGCTATTCTCAGTCCAGTGTCACAATCGCTGAACAGTAGTAAAAGTGGGTAAAAAGGTACATGCATTCACATACACACATAAAACGCATAATAAAAGAAAAAGAGAAACATCACAGCGCAAGTTACAAGTTTCACAAGCGGTAAATAAGCCTCACAGACGATAGGTAACTATACCGGAACAGCACCTACTCGTACTCTCTCTTGAGGTAAAGACGCAAGTTCTTTTTGAAGGCATCATGCTTGAGGGCAGTCAGCTCCACCGGCAAACCGTTGTAAAGCTGCGGTGCCCGGTACGCAAACTGGCGTCTACCTGCCTCCGATCGGATGCGAGGTAGGTAAAAACTGTTGTCCTGTCGCGTTTGTCGTATACGTAAATTCGAGCTTTTGATAAAAAGTGAGGCAAGTGGAGCCGGTTCTCCCCACCGGAGTGTTCGGTGGACTAGAGAAAGTGTGAGGTAATCCGACAGCTGTGTAGATGTAAACCAGTCAGGACCTTTCAAAATATCCGAAATATGGTCAAATTTGCGTCTCCCAGCAACCACTCTCGCGCAAAAGTGAATAATCTTTTGGAGTTGCCTATGATTTTTGCCAGTACAATTACCGAACACAGTTATACAGTACCTAACGTGAGAAAGTACTAGACCGTGCACAACTGTTGGTATCACCCTCTGAGGGAGGTAATGCCGAATATGGCTGAGGGCAATCAACATTCCGAAGCACTTACGCACGACATGTGCCACGTGTTCGTCCCATGACAGAGTAGGGTCGAATATCACGCCGAGGTTTCTCACACTCCGTTCCGGGCGTAGAGTCTCGCCACGGAAACGCACCTCGATCGTGGGGACACTGCGGAGGTTCGGCCTGCTGCCAAATACCATATGCCATTTTGACATATGCCATTTTTGGTCGAAAACTCAGAAATCATGACGTCACTAAAACCTCGATATCTCAAAAAATTTCCGACCGATTTTTTTGAAACTTTGTAACAATAAACTTCAATCAATTTCCTACAGGTACCCAAAATTTGGCGCGCCTGCGGCGCGCCGTTTTTATGCTATGACCCGGCAAAAAAAGTGGGGGCGTTTAACGCCCCCCCCCCCCAGCAACTCGCGAGTTAAAGCGAGAATAACGGGACGCTTTGTCTCAAAGAGGAAGGCTGTTCGTTTGTCTTGATTCTCACGGTTGGATTCTCTCACCGATCTGGTAAACATTGATTCGTATGGAAACTGCGGTTTTATTTGGCTGGGATGGTCCATTCATTGTTGTAATCTCGCAACACAATAGAACAAAAAGGATGAAGATATCCCGTCTTTAGTCGATCAGCCGAGCTCCCATGAATGATGTCTGTCACCTTTTTGTTGCGTGCTGTGGCCATACTTCAATGTGCTGTGAGCACGTACAAGTAGATGCCGTCTTGTGGAACGCCTTCACGCCTTCACTTCACTTTAAAGACGACAAATCAGTGTTCGACCCACTTCAACAAACACCATAAAACGCACATGATTACAAAACTTGTGCGTCTTATTATAACAAGACCCTGAGTCCACATCAACTCCTAGGCTGACGCGGTCCTCTCAAAGTCCGTGCGATTCCCTTCAGAATGCCGTCGCGACTCCGTTTAGAAGGCCGCCGCGATTCCGTTCAGAAGGCGGGTACCATGGTGATACTGAGGTCCGTCTGCCCCATGGCGGCGCTGAGGAAGCTGTCACGCGCGCCGAAGCCCGTCGGCGCGAACACGTCTCCCTGCGCCAGGTACGCCGCCCAGAAGCCATACGTGCCGTGAGTCATCACCGTGTGGTTGCACTGGGCGAGCAACGCCAGGTCGCGCTCCGCCGAGCCCGCGCCGCCGGAGCCGGCGATCACGATATCGGGCCCGCGCAGTCGCCGCCGCACCCAGGACAGGTCGTCGCTGGAGACGACGAAGACGGGCCGTCGGTACCGCCGCCGGCAGAGCTGCAGCGCCCGCGTCAGGTACCGCTCGCCCACCAGCGTGCCTTTGTACATACGCCGTACGGCGGTGCGGTAGTCTGTCCGCCGCACGTGCACGCCAATGTAGGTGCACGGGGGCGGTCCGCCACACAGGGCGGCAGTAGACTGCCGCAGTCGTCGCTGGGCCTCCTGGTGGACCGAGTGGCGAAATGTCAGCTGACGCAGAATGGTATCGCGGTATTTGTGGAAGCGCTTTGCATCACATGGATAGTCTGAGATGAGTATTGGACGGCGCCTCTTCGTTGACGCCATCTGTTCGAATTTACTGTATTTTACCTTCAAGAAGCGGGATTCGTTTTTGACGCAGGACTGGGGCAGTGTCGGCAGCGGTAGCTTGCCGAACAGTGGTGAGAGTGCCCGCTGCATCTCCGGCAGGATCCAGGCGGGCCGCGCGCGCGGGTCGTCCCGCTGCAGCGCCCACAAGGTGGCGTACTCACACAGCTTGTTACCGAGCCGACCGTGGGCGCTGATCGTGGTGAACAGGCCCGACGGACACGGGGCTCCTGCTGCTGCTGCGCTGCCCTTACCGCGCCGGACAGTCGGCCGACTGCCGGCGGGTCGGGCACCCTGTTTACCGTCTCTGGCGCGTTCTGCGCCTCTGCTGCCGACTGTCCTGCCTGTGTCCCTGTCGATGCTGCTCGGACTCCTTCCCGGCGGTCGGCTCGGCTGTATCGGACGCACCGGTCGATACCAGTCAGGGGTCGCCAGCAGCAGTAGCAGCAGACTCAGTGTGATGAATGTCGCACAGAGCAGCAAACGCCGATGAGATGGAAACATGATGCCGATGGGACGGTTAGGTTCCGCGAAGACGAGCACACACGTGTAATCCACTCGACTTCACACCACTTTGCAGCAACCGAGCACAGTTCTCCCTTCTGACAGACAGCTTCCACCTCCATAAGCTCTATCGATGGCTGGCTGTTTTTGTCGCGCCGCGCGGCTGCCGACCGCGCAGTTCGATATGTTGACGCCGCGCGGAGTCTCCCCCACACACTGACACCCCGCGGACTGGCGAGTCAGACTGAGGTGACCGCCGTACCGCACCCCACACCGCCGCGCCGGCTAGGACTGAGAGGCGGGGGGGGGGGACCGCGGGCCGCAGCCACATGCGACTCTCGGAATTGTAACGGCAGTCGTTCGGACAGATGGCTGGTCGCTGATAGCAAACCATCCGGTATGAGGGGCGGGGCGGGGCTGTTCGCTGCTCCCCTCCTCTCCGGGGGGGGGGGGGGGGGGGCGAGGGGGAGCTGCTGGACGCAGTGGCGTATTTAGCAGGGTGATGTCACTCCCCATGTTTAGTGCTCCCCATACTTCCATTGATGCTAATAATATATCAATTTTTCCACGGTGCTTGCAATGTGATGTGATTATCAGTTGTGACATTAATAGGTTTTAGAGTGGTAAGGTGTATGATACCCCAATATGAGACTGCTCTATCCGCCCCTTGTGATTGGATATGTGCCACTGCTGGCATTTCCAGTGCTGTGCAGCAGATTGCATGCTTGTTTTGATACCGATCTGTATCGTACCGCTTCTACCCTCCGCACTAGCTGAATTCCCCGACTCGACCCACCACATCTGTCCCCGCCCTCTGACTCGACCTGACCTCTGCCTTCCCCTCTCGTCCACAGCCGCCGAGTCACTGACGCTGATTTTCGTCGAGACGAAGCGCGGCGCCGACAATCTGGAGGAGTACCTGTACCGGTACGCCGGGTACCCGGTCACATCGATCCACGGCGACCGCTCGCAGGCCGAGCGAGAGCTGGCGCTGAAAAACTTCCGCAACGGCCGCTGCCCCATCCTGGTGGCCACCGCCGTGAGTGACGCCCCTGACCGGATGGAGGGGAGGGAGCGGGCGGGGGGGGGGGGGCAGACCGGAACGAACCGGCCAGTACCGGGTGGTGACTGGTGGACCTAGTGGGGGTATTGATTACGAGGCTTTGCCGCTTTGCGTGATGTAACGGCGCTTTTGTTTGAATGGGAGGTGGTAATTAGATAATGTTGAGTATGGTCTGTATTGGTGTGTTGCTATGGCTTTCGTGACTTTTGTAGCTAGGAAGACTAATGTTATGTAACCTCGCTATATGAACAGCCGTGCAGAGTCGCTTGCATATTAATGGTAATTTAGCGCGAATTCAAGCGGCCTATTTTCTGAATCATTAGCACGCCTTTGTGACATTGGACTGAACACATGGCGTGACACCATGTACCCCTCCCTATGTACTCTCGTTTTTGCTCGTCGCTCTCCCTCTGCCCTCCCCTTCCTTCACCCCTACCTCTCTCCCCCTGTGCCGCCGGACTGACCCCCCCCCCCCCCTGTCACCAGGTGGCGGCTCGTGGCCTGGACATCCCGCACGTGAAGCACGTGATCAACTTTGACATGCCGTCCGATATTGAGGAGTACGTGCACCGTATCGGTCGCACGGGACGCATGGGTAACGTCGGCTTGGCCACCAGCTTCTTCAACGAGAACAACCGCAACCTGGTGCGTGACCTGATGGAGCTGCTGACCGAGACCAAGCAGACTGTTCCCGACTGGCTGGAGAACTACTCGCTGGAGGTGCACAAGAGCTCCGGCCACGGACGGCGCGGCGGCAAGAGGTGAGGGCTTTAGGGAATGGATGAGAGAGGGAGAGGGTGTTTGGAGCAGTGTGGGGTGGGGATGGTATGTGGGCGAATTGGTGGTTTAGTGAATTTTATGAATGGAATATGTTGGTTCTCTAGGACTGAGCAGCAGCAAGCCACTTGGGGCTGTGTCGTCACTTCGAGGTCGAGTGTTGTGTTTGGTGACCTTGTTTTGTCAATAGGAGAGTTCATTCGTGGTCTTCCATCTGTAATGGTATTGCCCGATCGTGTGACTAGTTTAGTGACGCCTTTGTTTTCCTTTTTACTGGCAAATTACGGCACACGGCTTCCTTCGCTGGTCGGCTGCCGTCGCCGCGTTAGTTTATCACCACTGACTCCACGTGTATCTGTCTCAGGTTCGGCGGCGGTTTTGGCGGTCGCGACTACCGTCAACAGAACCGCAGCGGCGGCTACAACAAGACAGGCGGCGGCGGCGGCGCGGGCGCCGCGCAGGGCTACAACCAGGGCAAGATGGCCGGCGGCGGCGGCGGCGCCTTCCCCGCCTACGGCATGCCTCCGATGGGCGGCATGTATGGCTACCCGATGCAGATGAGTGGCTACGGCGGCGCGTACGCGGCTGCGCCGCCCCACGCCGCCGGCGGCACCGACAACACCTGGTGGGGCAACTAGGCCGCCAGCGTGCCGGGCCGGCGCGGAGCGCGCGGCCGCGCCGCGCCGCGCCGGTCCCCCTCCCACCCACCCACCCCTCTGTCTTAGTCGCTGTCGGCAGCAGCCCGTCCCGCCCCCGCCGTGTAACACTGGCAGGCGACGGCGTGTGCGGGCGCGCGCTCCCTCGGCGGGCGGGCGCCCCGCGCCGGCCGGCCAGATCCCCCGTCTCCCCCAACTGAGCCCGCCGCCCGCGGTCCAACGGCCGCGGGCGGGTGCGGCACTTCTGATTGTGATGTCGCTCAGTAGATGGCACTACTGCTCACGGCGCCAGCGACCGCCGCCGCGCGCCACCGTCGGCTCTCCGCTCCGCGCGGACGGGCGCACACCAAAGACGCGAGCTCTGACGTCAGCAGCCAGGTGATGTCACGCTGGAGCGCGCACACGCAATTTTTGGGGTGTTCGCTGCTGCCTCTTTGCTCTCATTTTGGTGTGTGTGCGTGTGGTGGCGACGTTTTTAGCGTTATCATTCCGCGGCGTAGTGGGAAACTGTGGTGTGTGCTGTTTGATTTTCGTGCTTTTGCGGTGTAGAAGAACTTGATTACTCAGCGTTATTATTTCCCTTCCTAATCTAGGCGATAGCTAACTATTTCAGCGTCGCGGCGCTTAGGTGTTAATATTTCCACGTCGGTCGGTCGGCGGCCAGTCGGCGCCGGCCCAGCTGCCGACCAGTTATCCGAGAAAACGTTGTATTCTTTCCTGGCCGGGCGGCTACCGGCCCAGCAGCTGCCCAGATTGAGCGGGGCCCAGGCCCGCCCCGCTGTGAGCGAGTCACACCCAGAGAGAGAGTGAGCGGAAAGTAGAGCGAGCGAGCGGCCCGGCCGGCCGTGGCCTGGCCGCGGCCGCCGGTCCGCCGTCAGTCGGCCGGCGGCGGCGTCGGTTTTCTGTTCTGTTCAGCACTTGTTTTGGGCGCGGACGCGCGCGCGCCGTGACGCGGGTTGGCGCGCGAGCTGGCCGCCGGCCGCGGATCTCAGGGCAGACGCGAGCCGACCCGCGCCGCCCGCCGGCGCGCCACCGCGTCTCACCAGGAACAAGTACAAACTGCGCGCGCGCGCGGGAGGCGGCTGACCGCGCTCTCGGCGGGCCGCCCGCCGGCGATCAGGCGGCCGCGCGCCGCCCGTTTGCTTCGTTCGTGTTTTGTAGCCTCTGCCAGGGGCGCCGTACGGCGGCCGCCGCCGTTCTGCGCGAGTAGCCTCTGCCGGGGACGCCGCGTCTGTGGCTGGGCGCTGCGGTCGGGCCGAGCGGCCGGCGCCGAGGCGGGACCCGGCGTCCCCGCCCTACCGGAGCTGCCCGGCCGGCCCCAATCGGCGGCCGGCGGGCAGACTTTATCATTTTTGTACGTGATCTTGCAGACCGATGTACTGTGCAGTGAAGGGGTGCGACTGCTAACGGAGAGAGGAACACTCGTGATCAAACAGCTGTATATCTTTGACCGTAGCGGCCAGAGGGCGGACACCTGCGGGCAGAATACAAGGAAAGAATATGATACCAAATTGAGCGTTTTGCTAGGTGTGTTGGGAAGAGAGGAGTGACCTGCGTGACAGTGACGGCGACAATTTTCAGTGATCTGCGGGGACCGTTCAGGACACACGTTTCACATCGGATGCAGTCGTAAAAGACTACACATTCGTCGTCCCGTAGAGCCCGTGTTGAGGGTTTCTGCTCAGGGGGGGCTTATAATGTTTGATGAAAGTCCATCTGGGTTCAGCAGCAAGTGCTCCGGCAGTGTTCAAATGTAGAGTGTTCAAATACCCAACCACAACCATTTCAACTCTTATATAAGCCTTTGCCCCCAGCAAGTCCCAAGATTCATTAGTTCCTCGCGGTGCCTCCCCTCAGCGACACTCCAGAGCGTTACGTGTGTGTCGTGTATTCGCACGTAGTAGCGGTGTATAAAATAACGGCAGCGCCACGGCGCCAAGTCAAGGCACAGGCAACAGATATGATCGCGGACCGCGGCTGGTCCACTTCGGACCACGGGTGGACCATCGGTCCGCGGCGTCAGTACATTCGTTCGCAGTTTAACAATATCGGCAACTATTTGTAACTTGCGTCGACGGTGGTCCTTTGAGCCACATCGGCAGAGGCGTCCCATAAACGACCTTTACACACGGGGGCGGCTCGCATCCCCGCTAATACAGCATATTTCACAGTAAGGCGGAGACGACGGGTATGAGGCGACTCTGGGCGCCGCCAGCCTCCACACAGTAGGTATCACAGCCTGAAGTACCTCCCGGTACGAGAGAAGGCGATTGACAACCCCCTTGGTCCCAACTGGAGACGAACGGCACACAGACGCAGAGCACCGAAGGCACCACACAACCACTCAGACCCCCAGCTCATCCCGTTCCATCACTGGAACAGAGCATCCCCTATCCGAGCGTTGTTAAGGCGACTCGATCCCACTGCGTCCCTGCGGTGCGCTCTGTCTCCCAGCGCCCCCTCTCACACGTCCATGGGATCCATGGCTCGGGAGAGCCGCGCCGTCTCAGTACGTTTACGCTGACTGCGGCGGACGGCATCGGCCCGCCGGTACGGCTCGTTTTTCAGACCGAGAAGGATGTCCTCGAGCGCGCCGTGGTAGACCTCCTCCTGGCCGAGCAGTTTCTTGTCGCGCACACCGGCGCCGCGCACCCGCGACTCCAGCTCAGACAGCACCTCCGCCTGCGAGGAGGAGAGGGGAGGGGAGTTATGACTCGGGGCCCTTCGTGGTGTGCTGGGATGGAGCAGTTGGCCCCCTCCTGTTATGTTGCGTGTATAGGACGGAGTAAATCATTGTCATGTGACAGAACAGCCAGAAACAACAAACAGACCAGGTGAAAAAGAAAAAGAAAAGAAGATATCATCAATATCAAATGCCAAGTCAAAAAGTAGAAGCCAACACCATCAGCTGCATAACTTTGCTTTAAGTCGCTAATGCTCACTGCAAAGCATAACGTGACAATCATCATGGCGAGAAAAGAGAAGTTGTTGTGGAAAAAAAGGATTGTATTTGGTCCATTAGAGAATGTAAGCAAGGTTCGTCAACGCAAGGCTAAGTGAGTTACGGCGGAGCATTCGGCGGTAACGGGTATAATTGAAGTGTCGAGCACTCGTGAGGCGATTCTTCGCACCGTCGTCCACACCTCAATACCAGCCATAGATAGCCGGAAAGCATTGGGATGACAGGGCTAAGAGAAAGAAAAGTCAGGACGGAGTGAAAGAAAGCTCGATAAGAGCGCTGATGCATATGTGCAGCAAGCAGAGCGAGTGAGGGAAAGCAGAGTGAAGCCGGGCAGATGTGAATTGCTTCACGTCATTGGATGGACGCGGAATAATTGATGCCATAGCCAGGTCGGACCCGCCACCGGTGCCACCAAGCCACGGCCGCCACCGCTGTCCAGCCCCGATTTAGCTGTGCACGCCGATCAAACGTCGGCACTAAGTAATTTCGATCGCCACTCACGGGACTTGGCGACAAGGTCACCTGACGGCCGTCCGCGGAAATACAGCTTCCCACGCCTGTCAACAGGTGGCAGCAGCGGCGCAGTGCGACCGACCAACGGGAACAAGCGTGCAGGCGTGCAAACTCCGTCAGCGCAAGGGAAAAGGCTCGGAACGCGCCGAAATTAAACTGGCATCACTACTGGGGATGGTAGTGATGCTAGTTGGTGTCCATGTCTCGGACGGACCTAAGGTTAACTACAAAAGATCAAGCTGACTACGGAACATATCTACGAGATTTGTTATTGGTCTGTAGAAAAGTGTAAGAAACAGGCGGCGTCCAAGAAAGGGGGAGAAACAGATAAACAAGCAATGAGACAGAAAACAAAAGAAAACGACAAGTTTGATAAAAACACGGCGTAAATCAAACATAGCTATGATAAAACGAAGAAAGATAAAAACGAAAACCGTTGAACAGCAAAGCACCCAGATAGACACCCCAGCCCGCCTGTGTTTCGGCCACAGCGCTCCCGCGCACCTGTTGTTTCTTGGCGTTGATTTTGTTCCTCCTGGTGACATTAGCCACGTTGTTGTTGTCGCTCTTGGCTGCAGCCGCGGCCACCGCCGCTGCCTCCATCTTACGACGCTGCTCGTTCTCCTTCTCCACGTTCTGAGGGTCAGGTCAGGTCAGCAGGGGTCAGATCAAGCCAGCGGCGGTCAGCGAAGATCAATTAATGACAATTTCAGTCGGATGAGTTGGTGAGTAGCCAGTGTTGCATCTAGTAACGCGGAAAACCCTCGCATCTCCTGAGTGGCATCCCCACCCCGACATCCACGCGGCCCCATCCTGTGAAACAAGTAATTCGTAAACAACTTTGCACTATTTAGCAGTTACCAAGTTTAAAGTGAGAAGCCTTTCCGCCACACCTGAGTGACCCACCTCCAGCTCGACTTCCCAAACCAGTCCTTCTCTCTACCAAACACTCGCAGGAATCACCCTGCCCCTCACCTGGTAGGCTCGTACGAAGCGGCTCAGGGTGGCGAAGAAAGTGGTGGCGTTGATGGTGCGCACACTCTCTCCGAACTGCTCCACCACTCTGCCGAACGCCTCCTGCGCGGAGGTGCACTCGGCACGCACCCGACTGCGGGGGGAAGCGGGGGAAGGTCAGTTCAGGTCAGGTCAGGGCTGGCCAGGAGTACTTTACTACTCAGTACTCGGGTCAGGCGGGCACAGGTGCTCATGACGTAGGAGTAAAGCAACGACGACTGGGTATTTTATCGCTCCTGCTCGGTAAAATAGCAGCCAACAAAAACAGCTTGGTGCTTGATATTTACAAGGAGCAGACATACCTTTCACAAATCACTTCCAAGCTTAATAATCCAAAATGTGACCCAGTCAGGTGGCAGCTACATCAGAACACAGACTTTAAGTCAGCCTGCATATTGTGCATAAGCAAAATTATTCGATATTGAAACCAGACATGTCACTATGACTCACTCCATCGTGAGTAGTTGCTCAAGGCATACCGTAGATTACACTATCAGTCAGACGAGGACACGTCGGTTTGATAATTAGCGGAGGACCGCACATTCTGCATTACATACCTACTGTGACTCAATGTAACTACCAGTTATCAATTTCAATCGTGCAAACTGCACAGATATAAGCGCTGATATTCGGACTACAATTGCATTCCCTCAGCGCAATGTGTGTCGATCTAATTCAGCCGGCCTACTTACAGCTGTATCTTCTAAATAGCACCCAATGCAAACACATCCGACCAGTCACACTCAACGAGCCCTGTGCTCGCTCCTGTCCTGTACCGCTCGTCCAGTCCCAACCCACACCGCCCTAAACCCCGTCAAATTACACCTCTCCACCCGTTACTTACCGCAGTTTCTCCTCAGCATTGGCCAGGAAGTCTCGGAGCGTGATCTTCATCGCCTCATCCTTGACGTTCTGCCGGACGAAGTTCTCCCGCCGCGCGCCCTCCATCCCCTTCTCCAGGTCGGCGACATCGGTTAGCACGTTTTCCATGGATACTGCGGGAAAAGGAGAGACGAAGTGAGTGATGACGAGATGGGGATACGACAGAAAGCAGCAACGAGCGTGGGTTTTACAGTGTTCGGGAACTGGAAGAGTCTGAGGGGTGGACTGATGCTGGTGACGTGGGTTGCTTGTTTAGTTTTGGGGGGCTTTAGGGCGAGCCGACTACAAATGTCATTTTTTGTGTCCCTAATATTACATGGTGGAGGTGGATGGGGAAACGGAAAGAGGGGTTAGGGAGGAGACTAGTCGTTGGGCAGAGGAGAGTGATGCCGGAAGGACAAAACGATAAGGCAAAGCCGAGCAAGAGATAGAGGCCGGGCAAGGCGGAAAGGGAAAGGGCTTTCAATGGCATAGCAAACAGAAGATTGCTTCGGTATTTGTTCTGTCAACGACGGAAGGTAGGAAAGTCAAGGCATAGACACTGAGTCACCTAAGTTTACATGGGAGGCCGGAACGGGCTGGTATCGTAGGGTGTTTGCGTTGCAATGATTTGTATACGGGAATCACTCCAAGAGTTGGCGACACCTCAACAAAAATGACGCGTAAAAATGTGAATCAATGAATCATCAATGGCTCCATCTTTCCGCACAAAAACAACAGGGAAAGGGTTCATGGAATTCCCTCTCCGGTCCATTCCCTCCCGAAGCATTCAAATTAGCATTCTAACCCACTCTGCCCTATACACCCCTCCCCCACTCTCTCCACCCCTCTCCCCGCTCTCCGCTCCTCTCACCCTGCGCGGCCTTCTCCACGAAGGTGAGCTCCGTATCGAACCCGACTGCCTCCGGGACCCGATCCCGCACGGTCTGGGCGATGTAATGCAGCAGACACTGGCGCTTGTCGGTCGACTTGGTGTCCGTCAGGTTATCCAGCGAGCTCAGCTTGAAGCCGTAGGCCGGGCCGCGCTTGGCACTGTTCATGTAGTTACCGAACGCCAGGATCACTTCCAGCAGGCGGCGGAACTTTTTGGAGTTGGCCACAGAGTTGGAGGCGGCCAGCACGGCGTGGATTTGCTGCCGGAGGAGAGTTCAGCGGGTTAGTAAGGCTATGCTCAGGTACGGCTGTCCTGATGTTATTCAGGCAAGATCGAGGTCTGAGATAAATAAAAGGTCCATGTGGGCTACCTGGACGTCAGCACAGAATGAGCCTACATACAGTGTAAAAATACAAAGCTACTGATACCCCCACTTCCAGCCCCCTGTCGGCACAGCGGCTACTCACCGGCTGTATAAGGTGAATATTATCGAAGAAGTTGCCCATGTAGGCCATGACCGACAGCTTGTTGGCCAGTCTCTCCACGCGACTGAGCTGAATCAGGTACTGGTCCTCGTCGGTGAGCGCCGACACGTCCTTCTTGTCGGCGATGTACTTGTTGTAGAGCTTGGTCTCCTCCTCGGTGGGCACCATCCTCTGTAGCAGCTCCACCATCTCCAGCGGCAGCTCCTTGAGGCTCAGCAGGTTGATGGCGCGCACCACCTCCTCCACCGGACGGTCCAGCTTTCGGCGGGAGATCGCTGGAGATGGAAGGGGTGGGTTAGAGGAAATTCTGGGAAGTAGTACACGATGAACCCCTTCATATTGGTGCTCGCATTAGAAAGAGAATAGAGAGTAGAGACTCGCGATTTATGTACAGAAGGAGATGCTTGCAACCTATACGGAAGCCTTACTCTAATGATTTCAATGGGATGTGCAAACTATTGCAAGCCAAACACACAGTTACTTTTCTTACGAATCACGGTCATCAAGAACCTAACTCTTCTCACAAAACCCCCTCCCCCCTCCTCTGACCAACACCTCCCCACCAACTGACCGATATTCCTCAGCCTGGTGTGCTCCAGCAGTGAGGTCTTCTCGGGTTTCTTGGCCCGCCGACTGCCCAGTGTCGACAGGCCGTCGGCCGTGTCCACAGAGCCGTTCGGGAGGATGCTGGTGCCGATCTTGAAGTGCTCCTCAAAGTCGGTAAAGTCGATCACACTGGCTAGCTTCTCGTCGTCCAGGTCGTTGAAGACAGTACCGCGCACCTACGGAGGAGAGGCAGAGACGTCAGACTGCTGTTTCCGAGGATAATTGTTGGTGGTATGGCGTTACTTTACTATGCTACGTTACCATACTATGCGGTACGTTGCATATTTTTGCTTGTGCTTTCAATATCATGAGTCATGACAGTGTCCCTCAAAAAGTCAGTCATATTGAAGCCAGCCATATTGATCAAAATTTAAAGTACTTCAGTTACAGATAAGATCATTTATCAATGGCAATGGAAACCAGTAAGATAAGGGTTGAAATGGTCAGCGTTGTCTTCGCTAACCCCGCAGCACCCTATGTGTCAATTATCTACCACAAATAATCGACCCGTAACGTCCTGTCCGTCACACACCATCCCCCTCTTTACTTCGTCACAGTCGGCAGCACAGTTCGGCTCACCTGGTTGGGTTTCAGCGCGATCCAGTTGAGCGTCGGCAGCTTGTACTTGGTCTGGTGTCTCCGTTTAATCGTCATCGAGCCATCGCCCAGCAGCTGATTCTGTCCGGGCGGCGGGGGCGGCGGCGGCGGGCCGCCCCGGCCCGGCAGGCTCGGGGCGGGCGGGGGAGGCGGGGGAGGAGGAGGCGGGGGAGGTGGAGGAGGCGGGGGCGGCGGTGGAGCGGCCGGTCCGGCTGGCTTCACAGCCTCCCCGCCCGCGCCGCCGGCGGTGCCAGCTCCCCCTCCTCCCCCTCCGCTGCCGGCCGCGCCGGACCGAGGCAGGGAGTTGGAGAGGGTCTCCAGCTCCTGGATCTTGTTCTCCAGCATCGACTGGCGCCGCTGTGACTCCTCCTCCTTCTCCGTGACGGCGCGGCGCAGAGTCGTCACCTCCTCCGTGAACTGGGAATCACACACACGAAAGCTCGTCAGTGGAAAGCTCAATACCCCCACCGTGAGCAGACATCACCAAGATATCGCATTTTACATAATGAGGTGATGACTTTTGAAGACTCGCCGCCGTAAGTTTGAACTACTATTTCGTTTTTACGGCTCGATTTTCAGAAGCCACAAAAAAAACGAAGCACAAAGCAATAAAGTACTGATAAAAGTAAGCTCCCAGGAAGCCAAGTAGACAAATGTCGGCACAGCGATATTTGAGGTTGGTCCGAACTTCGAGCTAACAGTTTACTGAGACCTAAAGGTGACTCACACACTGATTGCGACGGTGTGAACGCGTGTTTTTAGAAACCTGATTGATAGGACCGCGTCTGTAGATACAGAATACAACACCCATTTCGGGCCCATCCTTCCCTCCTATCCTAACTCAATACCCTTTTTTTTCCTCACTATGTCACGTCGTATCCCTCTATTTCTCTCTCCCTCTCCCCTCAAACCTTCATGCACCTGTTCATACAGCTGATCCCTCCTTCCCTCTCCCCTCTCACCTTTTGCGCCTGCTCGTAAAGCTGATCCCTCTGTCCACCTCCCTCCCATTTCCCCTCCTCTATCCCTCCCTCCTCCCCTCTCACCTTTTGCGCCTGCTCGTACAGCTGATCCCTCTCTCTACCTACCTCCCTCTCTCCCTCCCTCCCTCCCTCCCTCCCTCCCTCCCTCTCCCCTCTCACCTTCTGCGCCTGCTCGTACAGCTGATCCCTCTCTCTCCGAATCTCTTCCACCGCCAGCTCGGCGTCCGCCAGCTTCCGCAGCGCCTGCGCCTCGGCCTCCTGCAGCTCCTCCTGAAGCTGCGCCAGCTCAGACTCCAGCTCGTCCACACGCTCGATGTACACCACCTTGGTCATCGAGTCCTCCATGAGGGCGGCCACGTCGAACTTGTTGTCCAGGTAGGCAGAGATCTGCACCTGTGGGACGGGAGAGGGGTGGTTAGAGGCGGAGATGGTGCAGCTATGGTGGTGACGAGGAGTTGGTGGGAAGGGACCACTGATCTGCAGGAGAAGGGCGATGCAGAGCAAAGAAGGTGACTGTAAAAGGATAAGGAAACAATGTTTCGTGTTTTACACAAGATGTACTAAAGAAAGCATAGTCCTACAAAATGGCGAAAATGGCAGCACAAACTGTAGTCTGTAAGCTCTGTGTTTGATCTCGCCGAAACAGAATAGTTTCATCGAGTCATCCCAATAAAACCACTGCGAAAGCGCGCCTTCCCCGCCTGAACTAACTTGGAGCGGGGAGGCGGAGCGTCTGGGGGAGTATGTGTCCGCGGAGGCAGCGCTTCTGGGGGAGGGTGTGTCCGCGGAGGCAGAGCGAGAGCGCCGGAGGAGGAAGGGAGAGGAGATCACCGAGGCCGGGTCAAAGCGGCGATCCCCCGGCACACACACCTGCGTCTGACGGTATGGTGGCAGGGCCGGGAGCGAGGGAAGGCGAATTAGAGGCGGCTGGGGAGGTGGGAAATTGTACAGCAGTGGATCGATTTCACATGGAAGCTGCCGAAAAGTATTACCTGCTAAGATTATTGGGAAAGATAGAGTTGGGAAAAGGACAGCATTGGCAGACGCGCTGGTGTGGCGCCATACGCAAATGGTCAAGAGCGCATCATCATTATTTAGTCTTATGATCACACAGGGTGTATCCTATATTCCATAACATATCATCCAAATCCACATCTCGGCTCCACCTATTGATTCGCTCCGCACCCCTGCACTCCTCCCACGCCAATCCGCCGTCCTCCACCCCGGCGCGAGTCCCCCACCTGCAGTTCCTCGCTCTCAGTGTTTCGCAGCTTCTCCAGGTAGCTGTCCAGCCCGAGCACCGAGAACTCGTACTGCAGGTGCACGCGGAAGTTCATGTCCTCCACAGAGTGCACCACGATGTTGATGAACTGCATACAGGCCACCTGAGGAGAGGGGAGGGCGGTGAGATGCCGATCGCAGGCTGGGAGACGAGTTGGTGCCATGGAAAAACTTATGTTAGCTCATCAAAGGAGCATATAATTATTTCATTGCGGACGCCCGCATAATGCACATGAAGTGAAACGCGTGTACGTAAATTTGACCCATTATGTATGTATACTGCAACAAAAGGGAATCATAGAAGCAGGAAAAGGCATCCTGTAGATTTCAATGTTATGCTATTAGAGGCATTTCATCGACAACTGTCACCAGTGATCAGTGGCGGGTCAGAAACACTACAAACTAGGCTTCCTTCCTAGAAACCCTCTTGCCCTCACTCACTCCCTCCCTTTCCTTCTCTTCTCCTGCTCTCCCTTCCCATCCCCACTAACCATGAACTCGATCTGGAAGATGTCGTACTGCACAAAGTACTTCATCAGCGTCTGGAAGCGGAAGTCCTCGGCGCACACATCCTTGAAGTTGGAGAATGCGCCCAGGATGATCTGGTGCCCGCCTTTGACCAGGCAGATGGCCGCCAGCAGTTCCAGCACCAAGGCCTTCGTCCTGACGAGATGGAGGTTAATTAAATAATCAGCGATAATGTGGCATGATATGGGTCATGCATGACCGGGAACCGGCGGACTGGATGCAGCAGCGAGGGCATCGAGCTTGTAGTGTGGATGCTCAAATACTGAACGTAGATATGCGATTCAAACTGCTAGTCACTTGGTATAATGCATGTAATGATAAATTGGCGCAATATGGTCGAGTCATGAACACCGACTACGGGTACTTATGTTGCGTCCATACTGACATGCGTGCAAAATCAACACACGATCATGACGACAATGTCCCAAAATTTGTCGATTTGGGTGGGAAACGACATGCAAATGAAATTTATTTTTCACTCTAACCACCAATTTCTAAGAATAATTTTCCACTCCCAACCAAGAAAACCTAGATTTTTTACCAAGAGCAGTTGTGTGGATGCCAGGTTTAGCATCAACACATTACACGCTAGAATAAAATGCATGCTTTTTGTCGTTTCTCACTCTTTTTAGATCTAATCGAATCAGCGGTTTTCCACTCTCTCCCCTCTTTTTATTGGGTGATTTTCCCCTCTGACACCCAAGACAGAACTCGATTTTGGGACACTGATGACGATAACACATGGAAAATATGACAAACAAATTGTTTCGAGCCTGAACACACCAAGAAAATGAAAACGACGATACGCTTATAATTGACTGATAGTGAGCTATTTGTTTCTCAGTGGTTTTAAGCGATGTACGTCTGTCAGACCCCGAAATATGAAACAATAAAATGCTAGCCTACGAGGGAACTACGCTCCGAATGAAGGGTTACATGTGCATGCAATCAATATGAAAACGTGAAAACGCTTAACACAAAATCCGCTGCAAGCTCGACGATTTGTACCAACCCATTCATTTCTAGATCTTAAATCTAATCCATCTACCTAGGATATTCTTTTTTTTGTAAAACATGACACGATACAAGGATCTAGCGTGCTTTATCAAACGGGACTGGGTACGCCACGATCAAAACGGAATCCACACATCAACGCGGATCTGCTGTAATATAACACCATTCCACTAGCTACGCGACAGCATTCTAAATTTTACTCGACACCTGTCGGCTTACACGGCCCAAATCCAGACGGTCGCTGACAGCGGCTTTACAACAGGAAACAAGGCACACAAGTCACAGACACATTCTGCCGACATAGCCCCATAGAGCAGCATGGCAACACTACAGAACGGGTTAGACCACTACCCTCTCCCAGGACGGCGGGCATCTTACGGAAAAATAAGAATAAATGAAAGTGCAGCATGTTTCATACTAATTCAACAACGCTTTGCGTACACAAAACGCACCACTCTGCTTCCCTATATCGGGACTTCCCTAAAAAATACACAGCGGAAGTGTGTTTGGTGATTTCTTACCACCGGGAATATCCAACGACAACCACCCAGAAATAGTCAACCAAAGCGGTAGCTACACAAGGATAAGGGAATTCCCTAGACAGGCAGCGGCAGCCTGTGATAGGCCTTGTGGCCACAGTCGTCCTGTGTCCTGATTGGAGCGCAAAAGCAAGAGACACTGACATTAAATGTGCCACCCTTCCTCCCAGTCTGCTGTTGATTCCCTTTTGCCAATGCAGCCCCTTCCCTTTTGCCATCAGTGCCGTGCGGGGCGTTCCGCGCCATTCCCGTCCACATCGAGATATACCGAGGTCTCAGGTCGATGTCAACTGCCTGTGATCAAAATGGTCACACATCCAACCGACCTAAATGATCCCCCCGGCCCGTGCCGTATTGTAAAGCCGCTGAACCACGAACCATACTGCAACGCCATGTCATATGCCCATAACAAACGTCCGTACTATACTTTACAATCGTGGAACTCCGTGCCATCTGGCATGGTCCGGTCGAAGGCACTGCTCCCGGTCCGGCCTCCGGCACTCTACCGCACGTGCCCAGCATCTCTGCACTCCGTATGGGCTGTTAAATACCTGAACACCTGCCGCGGGGGCCCGACCTAACCCCGGAGGCAGGTGAGACGCCCACTCCAGCCCAGAACGACCCTACCGCTACCGACATTACGGCCGGCTGAGCGGCCTCGTGGTAAGGTACGATTCAGCTGCACGCGGGTTTAATTACATTAACTGAGAGGAGCTTCAAGTATGGGTTCAGCATTCGGAGCCAGCTATTTCCCTACATCTGCGCCAATGTTCGAGTCAGTCATGAACAAATATGCGCTGCTGCTGCCTGGACACATGTTCTTATCTCACCTCAAGCTCTTGTGGTTGAGGCTGAGGGCGATGTTGTTGATGGCCTCCTGGTGTTCAATGACCATGTTGAAGCCATACTGAAACAAACAAGCACACACAGGACGTCAACAACATCCATCAACAGCATCCATCACTACACCGGTCTGGGCATCACGTTCAGAACATCAGCACGCAACTCTGTCTATGTCATCGTGTGGGAGGTCGTAGTGGATGTGTTTGAAGGGAATGAAGGCGCTAATGCAAATAGCAGGGTCACCGCGCGCTGAAGGGAAGGGAGGACAGCGGGCGGGCAGAGGGCGGGACCGGGTATCAGAGGATGGGGTGGTAACAATGTAATTGTCAGGGCGAAGTCCGGGAGATGACGGGATGGTTACGAAATATTCCAACACACAGCAGTGGGTCCGGTGGTCTGAGGGAGGCAAGCTGGAGTCGCGAGGGCGGGTCTTGAGCCACAGAATAGGTGGAGGAGTGACTAGTGCAAAGCAAGATAGGTGTTGTTTGTAATCAGATGCAAGAGCAGATATGATAGCTAGAGCGAGCAAGTAAGAGTAACGCCTCTGCAACACAAATCATGTCCGTTATTCGGAGGTGCGTATTTCTAGATGAAATTATCAGCAGAGCAGAATGAGATAAATGAAAAAAGGCAGACCGAAATACAGGTAGAGAGTGAAAGCGGAGAGAAGAAAAATGAGTGAGAGTGAGAGAGAGAGAGAGAGAGAGGGAGAGAGAGAGAAAGAGAGAGAGAGAGGGGGAGAGAAAGAGGGGGATAGGGAGTGAGGGGGAGAGGCCGCTAGCCGGACGTCGTTCGTCGTCTCTATCAGTCATACCGGACGCGACCATCCGGTCAGAGCCGAGCTTCGTGTTTCAGGGCAGACAGCCGAGCCGCTCTGGGTGTCACAGTGTGCCGTGCCGGGAAAAGGCTGTCAGGGTGACAGGGTGTCACAGAATGTGACAGATGTGTCACAGTGTGTGACGGATGGGTCATACTGTGGGTAGGTGTTATCAGTATGATGATTATGATTTTGATGATTTAGAGGTTGAAGGCGCCCGGACTGCCGCGGTGGTTATCGGTGTAGCACGGTGTAGCAAGTGTTAGGGTAGCACTCGACTGTCGCCAGACTGAGAGGAACCTATCACGTGCGCACAACGGTGCAAACAGCGGCATTTCTGGCTCTCCCCAAGCCGGCCACAGTCCAGCAGGTACACCCAAGCCTGCCCGGTGACGCCCACACAATCAATCTCCCTCCTCCCTGAGTTCGGTCGGCACGGTGACAGTCCCTCCCCGGGTGGCCGGACCCCCACCCTGCCGCCCCTGTGGTGAGGGCAGCCAGCCCCGCTGTCCGTCGGGACGGGTACCGAGGTGTTGTTCACCTCAACAGCAGCGAGGAGGGAGGCGCGCCCGAAACACACCCCACAACGCCAAGCGGTTAGAAGGCACGGGTCAGTCGGTTCAGCGGAGTAGCCTTACCAATTACAGGTTTACCACCGCGGTAACGACAGGAGCCGTCGATGCCTAATGAATTTTGTCCCGCATGATCCCATCGAACGGAGCAGTGATATGCCTCGTATGATTCCTATCGAATGGAGCAGTGCTATGTCCCGCATGAACCCTATCGAACGGAGTAGTGCTGCCTGTGACTGCTCTCCCCCTGAGCCGTGACAGGTAGCCACGCCCTCAGGCGAAGCCACGTCTACCTGTCAAGCTCATGAACCGTGACACCCCATGTCGACGAACCTTACATAATTAAGTTCTCCTGCGAAGTCCCTGCGTGGTGACGATGCGACACTATTGCGAGCGGTATAGTATATGATGATTTATTACCCCCCCCCCCACACACACACACACTCGCCCAACCTCAGCTTCCAGTCTCATTACAACAGCCAAGGTCAGCGCACCGGTACCATTTCCGGTGCCGTGAGAACACAATGAGAACCCACTGAGAACCCACACGCCGCCGCCACCGGCGCATGAGTAATATGCATGAGAGTTGCAGGCTGCAGAGGCAAGGGACAAGCCATAATCAAAACAGCAGCTTGTCACTCATGTCAAGGATGCTCACAGAGGATATTTAAATATACAACGAGATACAATTTGAATAAGAAGAAGCACTGGGTGTATCTGACTGAAACAACATAAATATCAATATAATTGAACAAAGCACGTAATAAGAACAAGATAAGCCATCATTTAGAGCCAAACTCACCTTATTGTTCATAATGGCACGCAGACACATAATGCACACGTGAATATCGTCTTTGGTCTCTCCCATGTTGAGCTTGCTGATGTGCCGCGAGGCGTTTTTGAGTTTGTGCGAGTCGAGCTGGTCGAGGTAGCTCTGGCGCGCCCAGTTGGCTCGCTCGAAGCGCGGCGGCGCCTCGTCGGCCTCCTCGGCACGCTGTTCATCTACCCGCTGCTCGTGGCTGGGGAGCAGAAAAGACAGCAGACTGGTCAGATGGAACCGAGGGAAATAGCATGGATGAAGTAGTCCCTAGGTAGTTGGTAATCCATGGAAATAGTAAGCCGAGGGTGGGAAGAACACAGTGGGTGACGCGCCTCCGAGCTGCACTGGATAGAAGCGTTTAGAATGGCGTGATTTCAAAATCATATGCTTGCTCGCTCTCCAGATTTCTTCTTTCCCGGAAAAAGCTGCTAGCATTTGACGGGTGAAAATGACTGAATTTTGAAGATGGCCGGTTTCTATATACGACTCATCGAAAAGATTATGAATTCACGCTGTTTTTTTCCTCCAATAAGCTGGATATTACATGAAAGCTCTAAAGAGCTTATTACGACAGCCTTCGTGGTCAATGGTCATTATGCCGTGACTGGGTGGTCACTGGGCTCCCACACACCTCCCACTGCGGCGCAGCGGTGCCGGGGAGGGGCGGGGAGGCGGCGTTTCCGGTCCACGGGAGGTCATTACCATGAGCAGCACGGCACTTCGTCACGTCACCCACACCCGGGGCCACCCTCATACACCCCGATCAGAGAACATACGCTGCCCCAGCGGAGGGTTAACGTAAACAAACCGCGCCTCAATCTAAACAAACACCACAGGAAACATGACCTATACCACCAGTCCCAGATCGTCAGTAATTTACGGTAACGGTGCGTGGGTTTGGCGATACATGTTCATGACAGTGGCCCGATCTCAGACAATGGTCACCCTGCTGCTCAGTGCTCAGTCACGGTTTGGTGCGAGCCGCACCGCGCCGGTCGGGCCGCCAGACCACCGCGGCGGGACCAACGTGCCGTGACCGCGCTCACCGCCCGGCACCTAACATAGATCGGCCACCACTGGGCATTGAACATGGGCTACGCGCACTGAATCTAGGCCGGTCAAGACCACAACGAGGGCTGGTACGACGAGGATGGAAGGAGAGGAGTACAGTCTGTCTTTAAAGTACCGCGCAAAGTGACGGTGGATCCATCAAGCCTGACTGAGAAAGGGCCTGTTTTAATTAAAAAGTCACCGACCAATTGACCTAGGGAATGGACAAGGATGTCAATTGCTTTGGTGACCCAAATTTAGCAGGCCCTTGCTCAGTCAGGCTCGATGGATCCACCGTCACTTTGCGCGGTACTTTTAAGACAGACTGTACATTGCTTACGACGGGTATTAATCAATACATGGGTACCAATAAGTTGGGTTATGGCCTATGGGCAATGGCATGGCTGAAGCGAGTGGAAAGGTCAATGGTGCACCTCCGCACCGGCCTCACGAACCGGCCTCTGTCCACACCGGCCTCACGAACCGGCCTCCGTCCGCACCGGCCTCACGAACCGGCCTCTGTCCACACCGGCCTCACGAACCGGCCTCTGTCCGCACCGGCCTCACGAACCGGCCTCTGCCCGCACCGGCCTCACGAACCGGCCTCTGTCCACACCGGCCTCACGAACCGGCCTCTGTCCGCACCGGCCTCACGAACCGGCCTCTGTCCACACCGGCCTCACGAACCGGCCTCTGTCCGCACCGGCCTCACGAACCGGCCTCTGTCCGCACCGGCCTCACGAACCGGCCTTTGTCCGCACCGGCCTCACGAACCGGCCTCACCGAACCGGCCTCTGTCCGAACCGGCCTCTGCCAAGGCCTCGTACCGAACTGACCTAACATTCCCAGGTCAGTCGCCGAAAACGATACATACAGCCAACGACACTGCACACAGCACGTGGTTACGATGCAGATACCGGCGGACCGGACCCACCTGCCATTCCAACGGTGCCGGGTCCGTAGTGTTGCGCGGAGTCCATGGTCCGCGTCCCGCTCTGGCTCTCACCACCGTACCGTGCACGATAGAGGCTGCGTGATGCCAGCACACGCACGCTATCCTACCACACACGCGCAATCACACCACCAAACGCGCCACTCGCGGCCCGCCTCTGTTGTCACCGTCGTCCCCTCTCACTGACTGACGTCTGTCCTCTCGTCTCCTCCCTCGCCCTCCCCGCCCTCGCCCCTCCCCACGGACTGCCGCTCCCCAACCCACCTCCGACCCAGCTGGTCTTCACACTCCAGAGGGGCCACTAAACTTTATTAGGGGACCCTAATACCGATTGTGAGGGAGGTGACAATGCTGCATAGACCTCGTCAGCAAGGAAGTCCTGTTCAATGTCCCACATAGAACACGCTTGCAAGCAGCGGCGGGAACAGGAGAGAAGTCACCAAACACACTCACCAAAACTGATCGTAGACACAATACGGGAAGCACGACACTTCAGTACTTACCGCATCAGCATGAGGCGAAACGAGAGGTAGTCAATTAGCACCTCCAGACCGGCGTTGTGTTTATCCAGGAACTCTTGGACCCACCTGACGGAACACACGGGAGCACGGTCGGTCAGATGGTGGGAAGATAACACTCGCTAAGTCAATCAAAATGAGTTGGGAATGCAGTAGGCTTCTAATGAGATTATGTTCAAAGTTAAAAAGTAACAGAGCCTCTTGTAAGCTACCGATAATGAAGTGAGGTGTAATGTAATTAAAGTATAGACTGTTGCACCGAAATGACGATTATTTACTGCTGTTGTCGAAACTGAATACCAAGAGACAATCACTCGGCACAGCTTAACCCTAGGTATTAGTGGCAGGCTCCTGGTTAACGATCAATCAAAAGGCCCCCAAGGAGTCATCAAATATGTATGATGCATTTAACTCAAGGTTTCACAAACGATGCGTTTGGCAGGCACACTAGACATAAACGCTTCTCTAGACAGTGTACAACCTTTACAAAATTACCTTTCAATAGCATGACCTGCATTTCGAGTAGCCGCTTTGAGCTCGTCATCATTCCAATCTCGCATTACACACGTACGCCGCTATTTAACCAAATGAGCCATCACCTAACAAGAGCCGATCACCAATAAAACCCGGTTTGGCAGACGACCGAGGGGCCTACAGAATATACAACAACTGGCACCGAGCGAAAACTCTGACTCGAAGGTGCGGGGATGGCTCAGTCAATACCAGACGAGGTGGGTATGCTAGACGGTGATTCTATTCTTTGACGTTGTGAGAGATGACACTAAAACGATCGTGTCAGTTTTGCGATGGACTAGACCACAAGTTGTCGGTGAAGCAGTGTTAATTGCCAATTAAAGAGGAAATAGCAACGCAGAAGCTTCTGATAATGGGATTAAGCATCGAAGAAGAGGGATAAAGTCGCGGTGTGGAGGGAGAATGGCACAAGAAGACGATTTATCCAATAGATGTGGCACAAGTAATGAAAAAAGCATAACTGCTGGACAGTGGACATGTCCTAATCAAGCACCGAAACTGCCGGTCACCCTTGCAGCATTGCACGCAGTGGTCGGTCGGATAGGTCACGTCTCTCCACCATGACACGGAGAGAGAGAGAGACGCTGTCTCTCCCTCTCTCCCCGCGGGTCACGGTCACCCACCGGCGCGCCCACCACGGCTGGCGAGTGAGTCATCCCACCGCACCCACCAGAGAGCGACCCAGCAAAACCACGGGCCGTATGGCGACACAGAGCCCGGGCAAGACACCGGACATGTTGCGCAGGCCCTAGCATATCGTCCAGACAGCGTACTTCATCAGTGCTCGGTCCAGACTCGTATTGCATACGATGCGCTGGCGTGGCCTTATGGGGCTCGGGTCAGACCATAAACGGCAATACTGTCAACCCAAGAATGTCGTATATTACAGATGGACCTGCAAACGCACCCAGGTAGGTTTAGCGTCCAGTCTGAGGATCACTGTCATGGGTGATTCATCCATGATGTCAGCGACTTGACCAGAGCTCTCCGTCAGCAAGCCTTTCTCAATGCATCGAGGATAGGCCCACATTGTTGTAAGGCAAGTGGTTACAAACGGCACCTATCAGGCGATCGTCTCTTATGACGGATGGCTGTAATCATGACTGACATACACATAATCATCCCCACCACCTGCCTAAACACCAGCAGCTGCGGCAGACCCTCCCCCACCCCCACCCCACCCCCCCCCCCCCACCCCACCAGCCAATGGTGCAGTAACGGCCCATGGGACAACACTCCCGGACCCAAAACCTGCACAGCAGCAGCATGCTTCAGGCATTTTACGATGCGAGTTCGATTCGCGGATCGTCCGCGTCCGGTTCCGCCCGGGATTACGCGGTGTTACGCGTCTGTCGCCAGTTTCTCGGGTCATCTAACGGGGATAGACCTCTGGGATTACACAAAATCACACCGCTAACACGGCTATTGGAAATATCCCGAGCGCTGAGGTCCGGGTGAAGCACACGGTCGTGAGAGAAGAGCCGATAATCCGTATGTCGTTCACGTGATAACTCGTTCTAGATCGGCTAAAAGAGGTGAAAAGTTATACCAAACGGTACGATGTACGATAAACGGTACACGGTTTAAAGCGGCCGGTCCATCTGTCCTGCACAACATACCTGTTCATTATCTCTTCACGCCATTCAAAAGAAGACTCGCTTTGAAGTGGTATTTAAGGTTTGGGACGTTTAGCATTTTTAACCACATTGGGGCTTATGGTTTGTGGCTGTCACGGCAGGCACGATAACCCCAACGACAGCAGCGTGTAACATCTATCAGATCAGACAGCACCGTCAGATTTCCGTAATATAACTTTAGTGTTTTACCAAAAGGGGCCAGCACTTATACAACAAGCAAAAACGTTAGATCCATCAAATCAGCATCCACAAAACACACTAATCCTCTGCGACAAAATCAACGGAAACCTTCCAAAAGACGCCAATCAAAAACCGCACAAGGAAAACAAACAGCCACGCCAAACAGTCCGCGGGCATTGGGCAACAGTTGGCCGCTGAGCCGGTTCCACAGGTCTGAGACCGAGACGGCAGCCGCCGCCGATCTCGCCGGATGACTCAGGCCGTCATCGGGCGCCGGCGGCGAGTGACGGCGGCAGCTGCCGGGGGGGGGGGGGGGCACGTGCAACCCCCCCCCCCGCGCGCACACCTTAATCCTTGTACCGGCTCCACCGACGGCGCCACGGCCGGTCCCGGCAGCCGGGGAAGAGCGGCGCATGTCAAGGCACGGCGCAATGGTTGAGGGTTTCAACCATTGCACCGTGGACCTCCTAACGCAAAGCAAGACCACCGGGGGAGCACAGCACCCAATGACACCTCCTCTCCCACACAACTCTCATAATTAATCAGCTTGTTTATAGTGACATAAAAAACTAAGTGCACCGACAGCTGGAGGACATGCCTGCTCGGTACTTTCGTAGTTGATGACCTAGCATTTGCAGCTGGACTTTTTACTCTGGTCGTCTCAGAAAAAGCCGGCGTGACAGCTGCTGCGTGAGCCAGCAGCTATCAGCCGGTGTCGCTGGTCGTCGCGGGTTCCGTGCCAGCCCTCGCCGCAAGTTTCGGACATCAGAACCGTCGAGATCAGAGGCGCGCGATTCAGTGGCTCATGGCTCTCCGTTTCCAAGCCGTGGCTATCAGTGTCCGGATGGGCAGCACCCGTCACAGGACGGTCCGCTGCTCTGAGATAGGCTCCCTTCCGCCCGGCTGTGCCAGCCCACCCACACGCCACCCCCGCTCGACACAGCGCAACCTACGCTCCTCGCGCCCAGTGAGGGGTCAGTTGTGTCAGGGACCACCCCCGCTCTTGTCCGACGCCCCCCACTTGACCCCTGACTCACACCTCTTACGCATAGTGAGCTGTCCACTGTGCAGTGTGCACTGTGCAGTCCACCCGGGACCGTCGCACCACGCGACACCCCAGCCGTCCCCACAGCGCCCGGCCGCAACGAGAGCATGAAACTTGACCCCGGGTCCGCCCACCGCGCCAGCACAGTACTGAGCTACGGAGTCTGAGCCGGTCCACCATTGACGCAGCAAAACAGACTGAGGTACGCGACGACGTATGTCCCTTGTATGAGCAAATCAGCAACCTTTTTGAGCACATACTAGGCTCATACAGCCTAGAATGATTTAGACACTTGATAAAGATGAGCATCAACATTCGAGCAGCAAAGGGTCGAAGATTCACTCCGATTCACCTTCCGGTTTCATTGGTAGCCACCGCTGTCACGAGCTCTCCTTCATATCCAATTCAACGCTCGTCAGCCCACCTTCTCTCATACGACGAGCGAGCCGCCTCCGTGGACTGGAACTAACGCCCACTGCCAGGCACATTATGTGAGAACACTGCATGGTCGGCAATTCCGCCAGGCTCGCTAACTCTGCAGACGGTGGTAATTTGTACCATGCCCTGGTCGTTTGACTGTGACGCCAACCAGGGCCGACAGGCGTGGCCTTGGTCAGCATTTGGCTCTGAAAACACGGGGACCAGTTCGATGAATTTCATCAGCATCGATCTGAGGAGCCGCCAGAGCGGTCAATGATTCAACTATTGGATAAATAATGCGCGACACATGCTATCGAATCCAGCAGCATACAAGACCACTTAACACTACCCAGAAATGCAAAGCGATCTCTCTGAGCTCCCTTAGCAGCAGCCAAAAGCAGACCGATGGAGCGGCGCGCCCTTCCACAAAACCAACCATACAAAAACCACCGCACAAAAAGGCTTCTGGCGTATGCGCGCAGGCGGTGCTGCCGCTCTGTGGCCATCGGCGTGCTCCAGAATTTCGTCTGTGCACAGTTGGCCGCCCGCGCCCCCTGAATGCCCCATTGTGCCGCGCTGGGACCAGCACGATGGCATGACTCAGAACACTCGATGGGCCGAGATGGCTTGAAGCACGCGCTCTAATTGGTACCTGAGCTGTCTTGACAGCCAATTAGCAGCGTGTTTGATCGAGGGAGCCGACTAAATGCTTGTTATGGACAGCACGTACTCAATATGGAACCAGGTTTGTAGAGCAAACAGCCCAACACAGATACGTCGAGATAAGCAGACAGGTTCGATATTGCTTTACGCTTGTTAAAGCCAATGACTATGAGCTAATGGGGTTCGGATGGCGCTCATTTGAACCCCGTTCGAAGGCATATAGGTGCACAACTCGTGCCGGTCTTAAATTTATAACCGTACTTCATCGTTTTAACAAAGAGTAACGGTACGGCTCAATGTCATAGGCTCAATGCAAAAAGCGCCCCACACAATTCTAACATTTTTCTCCTATCCACCGTCAGAATAAAAACACACCAAAACGAAGCAGCCAGAGTACATCCACAAACATCTTACGCCTCTCTCATCCTTTCGACGCACCACTCTGTGGGCGCCCGTCCGTTCTTCACCGGCCCACACCGCAGCATATATCCTCTCCGTGTCCGTGACACCGCCACAGCCACCTGTGGCGTCGGCTTACGGCCCTCAGCTGCCGGGAAACGGCGATAAATCGTACCCACACGAGGCAGCAC